AGTGAACTGCAATATATTTGGCAGCTAAAGCATTTGAAATATCTGTGGTCCAACATATAGACTGCAAGTCTGCTTTCTATTCTCTTGCATTCAAATTTTTCGCATGTGAACTTAAACTGGGTCCCAAGCAGTTCCAGCAGCATTGAAGTAGTAGTTTACTTCAGTGTTGAGGTTTGAGAAACCAAAGTCTAAGTCAACTTTGTCTTTGCAAAAGTCGCGAAATGACATTTTATTTGTTCCACTACTTCTGTAAGAGTGAATGGGTCTTGTGTTGGTGCAATGACTAGTTATTTTTGCTTGGAGTAAGTTCAATAGAAATTTTTCCTGCCCAGTTTGGCAAGTATCTTAAAAACCTGAAGATGAGGAAAGATGAACAAAGGAACTCTAAGTTCAGTTTTACTTTAGTGACAGCATTTTCATCTGAACCAGAAAGGTTAATAAACTCCTGGAACGTTAGGGTCAAGTCTTCTTATTTTCTCATAGTTGCATACTGGTCTGTTTGTTCTCTAGCTTGTGGTTGTACTGAGTTTCTCAAAGCGAACCATTCATAGTTTGCCCATGTTACTGTTTGAACTAAGTCAGAGTTAGAATATATCTTATATCCCATGAAAACTTCTGGAGCATATTGGTATCCGACATAGAAAATTCCATTGCAACCTTTCTTGTCAGACAACTTGGCAGAAGGTTTTATTTCAATGTCTTGTTCCACGTAATAAGAAAGAGTTGTCAATAGAAATTATATGAAACCTGTCGCAAGCAATATCTACTGTTGTTGAAGAACCTTCTCCAAACTCACCTACGTTTCCATAAGAAACAGCAGTGTATATTCGTAAGTTCCAGGAATCTATTTCTGACCTTCTAATGGCATTGTCGCATTCGTTATACCATTCGGAACATTTCCATTCATAGCATCCAAAACTGTTGGCGTTATATTCTGAGCGGCGTAACATTTCATATGGGTAAAAATATAGAATAGTTGGGTTTATATGTCATAATAGAAACCCACGTGGACCAAGCTTTACTTTCTTCGACTGAGTTTTTTAACTCTTCTTTTTCCTTCATTGCCACTACTTTCACTAGATGAAGTTCTTCTTCACTACTTCACTTTGTTCTACTCTTCTTTTCTTTGGTGTCGCTTGGTAACTTGCCCTCTGCTTCAAGTTGTTGCATCTTTGCATTATGTTCATCTAGTATGTTGCAAATTTCCCATGTCCTTTTTGCCTTTTGGCTCTGGTCGCCCATCTCAGGTAACCTATATCCTAGAAAGAGTTTGTCATAGTCTGTATTTGAGTCTTCGCGTATTGTTTGCATGACTCTTTCCTGAGTTTCCGGTTCAAGCTCTTCAAACAGTGCCTGTCCATATGGAATAAGCTCGTTTCCAAATATATGTTTTTGTAGCCATTCTGGTTTTCTTTCCATGTTACCAACAATATCTTTTGTGAATGGGAAAGCTTTTACCCAATCTTTCAGTCTTGCGTCGTTTATTTCTGTAGTTGGTTTTATTTTGTCAAGGAACATGTTTTTCAATACTAACATTTCATTTGGTACTGTCCATTTGAGTTTTCTTAAATATTCATCCCTTCTCAGTTCATTGTCTGCAAAGTAAGTTTTTATGACATTTTGTAAACTTTCATTTGCAAGGTCATGTACAATAGGTTTCTCTTCCTTCTCCCTCCCTAACTTTCTTTCTAAACTCTTCACCAAATATACCATCTCTATGGTTCTGTGTAGTTCTTTGAGATAAATGTTCTAGAACGTCAGGTGTTATATTTCCATCAGCCATGTTCATTTCATACTGGTCCAAAATATCTGCATGTTTCATATCTTTCAATGGCATTAAAGCCGCGCTTAAAATACCAGCTATATCTCGTTCACCATTCAATTCCATTGCGTCTACAACTTCTTGGAATTGTGGTTGTAAGTTTATGAACCACCTATCCGGATTAGCTTTATGACCCATCTCATTGTAGTTCCATCGTCTGCAGAAACAAAAGTAGGTTTGTTTCCATCTTGGTTAGGTTCTGAATGAACTTTAAACAATGTTTCATTTCTATATGTTTTCTTGAAATTTAACCTTTTATTTTCACCGAGTTCATCCAAAGATTGAACGTTAAATGCTCGTAAGTAAAAAGGGTTGTTGTATTTGTGTACATTTTTTTTCAGTACTTCCATTCTATGCTGAATATTTTCATCTGGTGTTGGAGTCTTTTGTATGTCGGCAAACATTTTTCGATATTCTTCTACTATGTCAGCCGAATTTTTTTTAGACTCTTGGAAATATTCCATATTCTCCGCATACTCTTGTTGAGGGTCAAGATTTTTCGGCTGTTCCAAATCTTCATCTAGTTCTGTGAAGTTAGTTTCCAAAGGAGTGACTTGTTCGTTTCCTTCAGGCTCTTCTAGCTGTTGTTGCTGAACTATTTCTTCCATGTCTGGTTGTATCTGAACTTCTTCCTGTGGAGTTTCTTGTACCTCATCTGCTGGCATTTCATATATTCCGAGACCGTTTTCAACAATTTCCCTATCTACGTCATCCGCATTCATAAGCTTTTGTTCTTTCGTTCCGTCTCTATTTTTTACGCGTTTCATGACGAAAGTTGAATTGTCATTTAGCTCTGACATCAAATATCTCGGAGTAAATTCATCCATGTCATTTGGATGATATGCTATTAATCATATCCCTTAGCGAGCTTGTATTTTCCAGGTTTGAGATTATATCCGTTTTGGTGCTGAGCCATAAAGCTAAATAGGTTCGGGTCAGTATTTCCATCCTTGAACTTTCCAATAGCTTCTTTATATCTGTCACTAAAGTCAACAGTATCTGGGAAACCACACTCTTCTTTAAGCATTTTTAAGAATTCTTGGTTTCCTTGTTCTCTACTTCTTTTATGTCCTTGCTCTGTTTGTGGTTGTTGTTGTGCTGGTTGTTGTGTTGGTTGTTGTGCTGGTTGTGGAGGTGGTTGTTGTGCTGGTTGTTGTGTTGGTTGTTGTGTTGGTTTTGGTGCATGCCTGTGTCTGTGTCCATGTGACGATGTAAATGTTCTAGGTAGTCCTGGTGCAGGTGCTTCTCTTGGAGGGTTTGGTGGTATATAAGTTCCACCAGCTGGCACATATGTTCCATCTGCAGCGTAATGTCCTACCTGACTTTTCGTTCTTAAGAAAGCATTTACTAGGTCTGTTTTGGTCTGTTGTAACTCTTTTTCTTGACTTTTCACAACAGTTGCTCTAACGGCGTCATAGGCACTTTGAACTGCCTGTCTCGTTGCTGCATCTGTTATTTTCGTCATATTTTGTGCTACTTCTTTTAACTCTTTGTCGAAACCTTCAGACTTCAGTTTCTTTCCAGATGAGAAGTCGTTCACTTGTTTCACCTTACTATGAAGAGCTTCGAAGGCGTTCTTAAAGTCAGCATTTGTTAAAGCTTCATTTGAACTGTCTTCATCCGCTTGTATTTTTGTCCTTATTGACCCTATGAGTTGGGCTGCTTTAGCGTTGGCTTGGGCATCTAACCAGTCATTGTTGGCTTTTATATATTCTGCGCTTTTCATTGCCTTTTGCATAGCCGCGTCGTTATTTTTACTTTCTTGTGCTAAGTTTTCATACTGTACGGTTTGGTTTTGCAACTGTAAAAGTTTTTCTGCCTTTACATTTGCTTCAACTTCTTTTTTATACTCATCGCTATCCATATATGTCTTCAGGGCTTTTTGTTTTATCTCTTCATCTTTCAGTATTTTATATTGAGTAGTATGGTTTTCAAATTTATGACATCTTGTTCCATTTTTGCTACTTCTGCTGCTTTTTCTGACACTTTTTTCGCATATTCCTCTGTACTTAGTTCTTTCAGTTGTTCTTCTTTCTTCTTTTTCTCTACGTTTAACTCATTGAGTTTCTTTGTGTGTCTGTCATATTCTAGTTTCTTTTCGTTTTCACTTATTTGCCTTCTGTATGTCTATGTTTGACTTTTTGACATCTGTTATTTGATTTTTGAGTGAACTCAAATTCATTTGACTTTGAGGGTTATAGGCTGTTCCGTCTGCAGCTCCACCATAGCCTGCCATTTTCGCTAAAAGTGCCGCTCTTAAACCTCCACTCTGTGCACCAATGACTCGGTTTAAAAGCATAGGATTGCTTGACATTTGTTGCAACATAGTGGGGTCATTCAGCATTTGTTGTTGCAACTGTTGTTGTGGTGTCAGTTTTACTTTTGGATGTTTCAATGCTCCCTTCCTCTTACGTATATTCTTACGTAGCTTACGTGGCATTTTAAGTGAAGTTAAAAAGCGGTTTTATACTAAACATCTTCGGGGCTAGAGGGCACGAAGTGCCTGGAAGCCCCAATACCTTTTTTTTTTTTTGTAATTATATCTATTAAAATATACGAACTTCACTGTTATATTTACATAGCACTTACGCCCATCTGGCTATAATTCAAATTTTTGACAACTGGCGTGAATTGTCATTGAAAATTATCCTTAAACATCTGAATTGAAGTTCATGTCATAGGGGCGTAAGTGCATACTTAAGGCTCTACAATTTTGAGAGGATATTCATTTTTTAGGATGCTTTTGGATGTCTCTATCTTACCATCTGAAATGCCTGAGAGGAAATTCTCTATAGTAATATGTATTTACATATACTTGTGCATGTAACTAATATATTTTTATTGAAAGAATGCAATGCTATATCCTTGGAAAAGGAAATTTTAGATCTCACAAATTATTATTTAATTTTTGTGGGATAATCTTACCATATTGTCAAATATTGTTTTGATCTTTATTTATGTTCCATAACTTTTATTCCTGCTCCAAAACTTTGCAAACCCAATATTATATATTCAAATGGGGAAAAAAATCATTGCATATGTGTCAAAAGATGATGAACTTTTTTAGTAACGTAAAAAAGAACCTAAAAATAACAATAAAAATTATGTATTTACTCAGTATTAAAAGCTTTATTAATTTTAATATAAAAAAGGAAGTGAAACATCTTATGTAGGAATTTTATTTTTCTGCACCGTATGAAATTAGAAGTTTGGCTGTTTCATCACTATCACAAATTTCTGCACATTCAAGAGGTGTTTGTCCTTCATCATTTTTTGAATTGATGTCTGCACCGTGTGAAATAAGAATTTCAGCTAATTCTTTTCTATTAAATTTTGCTGCAAAATAAAGAGTGGAATTTTCATCGTCGTTTTTTTCATTGACATCTGCGCCATGTGAAATTAGAAGTTTGGCTGTTTCTTTACTATTTTTAGATGCTGTATAATGAAGGATGGTGTTTCCGTCCTCGTCTTTTTCATTGACATTTGCGCCATGTGATATAAGAAGTTCGGCTATTTCTTTATAATCATAACGTGCTGCGATATGAAGAGCGGTTATTCCTCCTTTATCTCTTATATTAACATTTGAGCCATGTGAAAGAAGAATTTCGACTATTTCTTTATTATTACCGAGTGCAGCAGCATGAAGAGGTGTTTGACCGCTATCATCTTTTTTATCGATTTTTGCACCGTGTGAAACAAGAAGTTCGGCTGTTTCTGGACTTTTATAATATGCTGCAAGATGAAGAGGGGTGTATCCATCATCATCTTTTTCATTGACGTTTGCACCATGTGAAATAAGAAGTTCGGCTGTTTCTGGACTATTTTTAAGTGCAGCAGTGTGAAGAGCGGTTTGTTCTTCATCATCTTTTTCATTGACGTTTGCACCATGTGAAATTAGAAGTTCAGCTATTTCTTTACTATTAAAACATGCTGCACCATGAAGAGCGGTTCTTCCTCCTTTATCTCTTATATTAATATTTGCTCCGTGTGAAATAAGAAGTTTGGCTGTTTCTTTATTGCTACCGAGTGCAGCAGCATGAAGAGGTGTTTGTCCCTCATCATCTTTTTTATCGATTTTTGCACCGTGTGAAACAAGAAGTTCGGCTGTTTCTATACTTTTATGATATGCTGCAAGATGAAGAGGGGTGTATCTATTCTCATCTTTTTCATTGACGTTTGCACCATGTGAAATAAGAAGTTCAGCTGTTTCTTGATTATTACTGAGTGCAGAAGCATGAAGAGGTGTTTGTCCCTCATCATCTTTTTTATGGATCTTTGCACCATGTGAAATAAGAAGTTCGGCTATTTCTGGACTTTTAAAATATGCGGAAAGAAAAAGAGGTGTGTGCCCATCATCATCTTTTTCATTGATGTTTGCACCATGTGAAATAAGAAGTTCAGCCAATTCTTTAAAATTATAAATAGCTGAATAATTAAGAGCAGTGTCTCCCTCTTTATCTTTTTCATCGATATCTGCACCAAGTGAAAGGAAATATTCGCAAAGAGAAGCTATGCCAAAATATGCTGAATAAATAAAGCATTTGTCAACATCATTAGTTTGATCGAAACAAACTAAAAACGATTCAAGATTTTTATGTTTTCCGCAATAATTTAAGTTGATCTTTATTTTGTGCTCATTCATCAAGAATGTAACATAATCAATGTTGTGTGAAATAATTGCATATTCCATGCAATCTTTATTTGGTTTTTGATATTTCAAACATTCACTCATGATCTCTTTGTTTCTTCCTAAAAATGAAAATTTTAGACATGTTTGCGTTATTTTTGAGTTAAATTTTGTTCTCAACAACTTGAAACAATCAACTGCTCCATGGTAACAACATAATTCGAGTAATGAATAACCTTCATCAGAATCCGGATATAATTTGCTTTTGTACTTTTGATTTTTATCAAATCCATCGCTTTCGGTGAGTATGATGAATTTTTCAATGTCATTATACATTATTGCTGTATGAATTGTATTTTTTGTATGACTTTGAAGGTTTTTTGAAAATCGTTTAATATCTTTAACCTCTTGGATATTGTAATCATCAGATATGAGTTTGACAAGAGATAAATATGACTTTGTATAGCGATTATTATACGGAATGATATTTGAAATGTCTTTTATAATACTAGTAGGTGTATATTTCTTTGAATCAATCATTTCTTTTTTGATCATTTTGTAAATTGAGTTTAAATCTTCTTCATTTTCCGTTTTTAGCTGATATAGTGCATTATATGAATCGATGTAGTATTTATAGGTACTTCGTAATTCATTGTATTTATTTGGATGACCGTCTTGTTCAGACATGAAAAAAAATTGAAGTCAGGAAAATTGATTAAAAAATTTATTATATTCAGTAAAAGTGGCAAAATTTAAATTGTCGTAATGAAAAGTGACAAATCAGACTATAAAAATTCCGCCGATAGTTGATATATAGATATCGATAAGCAATGGAATATTTGTATCAGGAGTAGCCAAATTGTATTGAAGAGTGTAAATACCGGTAACTCTAAACATAGTCATTTGCACGCAAATTCCTTTGATTCCACAACAAATCAAATCAAAAATAATAAATAAATATGATATCATATTACTTTCCACTTATCTATTCTCATCAAGATTGAAGGATGAATATAATTATATGAGTGGGAATAAGTTGATAAATGTTTTTGTTGCATACTATATCTCTGTGTCCCTGCAAGTACGTACTCAGATCGGGAGAATCTCTCACTTTTGTTCCGCAATGTGACATTGGGAACAAAGTTTCCGATCTGAGTACATATTTTGATTGCGAAGCTTCCTTCATTCAGAGGTGCTTGCGCAGACAATGTGTCTCAGATACAAGGAATTCGACGAAAACTAGCCAATTGTTGCTAATTGAAGTTCCAAGTTCTCTGACATATTATCTCCTCATGTGTCTTCGTATAAACGAGCATTACACATTTGTTGAGCTATATGAAATATTTGCCTGTGCTTATGAAAATTCCCTATTTTGACACTTTTCGTGATGATAGCCCTCTCAAATTTTCTCTCGTGACACCGTAAACTTCTCAAAAATAAATGTAAACTTCTGAATTTTCTGAACTTTACGTCGTGACGCCTCGTGACGCCAACCCTAGTTTTTACCGTTTCCCAGCACTTTTCCACCAGAATCGGCCACCTTAATTATAATGAATTACATATATTGAGAGATCAGAATGATATCATAGAAAGAAAAAGAAGAATTATCAAAAGATAAAGTTTATTTGAGTTAAAAGAATGAACTTAGAAACCACCACGAAGACGAAGAACGAGATGGAGTGTAGAATCCTTTTGGATGGAGTAATCTTGAAGTGTGTTGCCGTCTTCAAGTTGCTTGCCGGCAAAGATCAAACGCTGTTGATCTGGTGGAATACCTTCCTTGTCTTGAATCTTAGCCTTGACATCTTCAATTCTGTCTGTTGGTTCGACTTCGAGTGTAATGTGTTTGCCTGTGAGTGTCTTGACGAAAATCTGCATCAAGAAAAATAAAGTGTAATCATTTACATATCAAAACTTGACTTAGTAAATTTTTTTGAGAGATGATAAGTGGTCGCTTAGAATTTGATTAAATATATCCAGTAAAAAAATCATGAATATGAATTTGATCAATTCATGTCAAAATTTGATGAAAATTTTGCTCAATAATATTTTGTATATTATACAACAATATGATATTAAATATGATTTTAAAATAAAAAACAATTTTTGAAATGATATCTGGAATTTTTTTTGAGAATAAAATTTCCATACTCCGAGAACACTTCATTTTTCTTGATGCAGATTTTCGTCAAGACACTCACAGGCAAACACATTACACTCGAAGTCGAATCAACAGACAGAATTGAAGATGTCAAGGCTAAGATTCAAGACAAGGAAGGTATTCCACCAGATCAACAGCGTTTGATCTTTGCCGGCAAGCAACTTGAAGACGGCAACACACTTCAAGACTACTCCATCCAAAAGGATTCTACACTCCACCTCGTTCTTCGTCTTCGTGGTGGTTTCTAAGTTCATTCTTTTAACTCAAATAAACTTTATCTTTTGATAATTCTTCTCTTTTTATCCTTATTAATCTTTTTATTTTCATTCCTTTCGACTTACATATTTTCATGAATTTGCTCAAATTTTCCAAATCTCAGTTATTTCCATCGAAAGACTACAAATCCAGTTGACAAACTACATTCATTTTCGTGAAATATATATATTAGTGCATATTAATATCTAATTTCAGACTGTAGAATACGTTTTTTATTGAAAAAAATATAAAGAATGCGCGGGGTCAACTCCCGCCCGAGGACAGCGAAGCCTATTGTAGATATACCTCGAAAATCTTCGCTGGCTCCGATAGCAGCGCCACAAAAAACAGCTTTACAGCATACAGCATCGTTTAAACCAGTAAATTTATTAGATTTAAGAAATGATGATGTTATTGTACGTCCGAAAACAATGGGTGGACGTCCAAAAACAAGTATAATGAGCATGGATGAATTTTTAAAGCGTAGCAGAAAATTAGCAAAAGAATCAGAAACGAAAGCCAAGGAAACTCCATCTGTTGCTGAAGCATCCAATCTTGAAAATAAAGTAACTAATCCAAAGGAGTGGATTGTTAACTTCGTTCGTTCAAAACTATCAAATAACGCTGCAACTTTAATCCAAAGAACATGGAGAAGCTACAAAATACGAAAAAGCTGGGGTGGCATCTTCAATCAGCGTATTTGGTCACGCCACGACATATTACTTCGAATTTTCTTAGGCTGGCGTGGATATGCAACTAAAAATTTTGATGTTCAAGTACAAAGCTACGACAGATTTTCAGCTCTCCACCAAGAGAAACCATGGATATCGATTAAAACCAACCTTGCTCCCTTCAACATGTTTTATGCAACCGGAAGATGGTTTTATCCGAAATTATTTAATGCTAGAACATTTCTTTACGTATACAGAGTCTTTTCCAGACCAGAAGGGCGTCATATCTTACAGTTATGGCGCATTATGGCTTCAAGTATTCGCGGATATCGAGAGAATTCTCACAAATTCATTCATACTATTCACAAACGGCAAGCCTTTGGTCCTGCCTTTATTGCCTTTACCATGTGGAACCGATTCATCCAATGGAAGAAGGAGAACAAAGAGCGGCCAGACTGTTTTTCATTACAAGTCAAAGAAAGACTCATAAATTGGGACATTGTCGAAGGCAGATTGAACAAAAGGAAAGCCCAGCGCATCATGGCCGACCAGCACCACACGAACGTCGTAAGGAAACACGCGTACATGGCTATCCACCAGCATTTGGTCGAAAGAAGACAACTCGCTTTGGACATGGAATCTGCTGTCACTTTTTTCAATCATCATGTTATGGAACAAGCACGGCGCGCATGGCTTAAGTACGACACTATGAAGCGTCAAAAGCGTGTAGAGCTTCTTAAGATGCAGCGTGCATGGTATACAATGGTTTTCGAGCGTGCTTCTAAGAATCAAATTATATCTTCAATGACTACGTTCAGGAACAATCTCCTTTGTTCATACTGCTTCACGATGTGGCGCAATAACATCAGATACACATCTTTAAGACTCCTAAAAGGTGCGTACATGATGTTTAGAAAGCCCTCTCCATTTCGACAGTTGTTTTTCGCAATGTTGAACCAAGTTTCTTTTGTTTTCTTCGAAAGATCATTCCACGAATGGGTCATGTACTGGCGCAGACGTAAAGCGTGGAAGAAATTCCAACAGGTCTTCAAACACGTTGATGACAATCGCGAAATGAAACAATTGTGTTTCTACGGATTGAAAAAAGCTTCTGAAACAAATTTGGTCAGAAGATTGGTCCACACAACGAACAGGTTTTTCCCGAACCAAACATATTATTCTGTAGAAGGCATGCAGAAGAATATGATGCTTTATTTCGATCCAGGAAATCCTTTCAAGTACCAAAACGATTCTTTTCCACAAAAAAGTGATTGCGAAGTTTTGATTCGATCTTTTCTTTTAGTTCTTGATCAGAAGCACAAATTCGATCGATGCAAGTTCAGTAGCCAAATCAAAGAAGTCAGAATGACACCGAGATTCGGATATTTCAATTATTCCGACATCAAAAAGAACTTCAAAGATAATACTGACATTTTGAGAAAATGTTTAAGCACAAGACTTGCAAGAGATCGAACAACATTAACAGGTGTTGATTCTCATCACATGGCTTTGAAACTTGCACAGGTTTTGCCTGGTTTCACGCCTTCACAAAGCGATTCCTCGAATGCTTTGGTTGTTACAGGCTTGAACGCTGCAATTCCTTTGAATATCCCTGAAGACATCGAACTGTCTATCGACCATTTGATTGAAGAAGCTGAAAACATGAAATTTGTTGTTCCTCAAAAAGTTTCACAAAATTTCAAAGGAATGAGAAAAATTTTTGACGAAAAACTTCGTCATCCGAACATCATCTATGGAAACAAAGATGATTATCAGACACCAGAAGTTTCTGCTGTACAGAATCCAACAAACATTCCTCTTTCCACGTCGAAGAAACAAGGACAATCAGTTACTTCTTTCACGAAACCTGTTGTTGATTCGATTCCTTTCGATTCTCCATCATTACCATTTGTTTTGGACATTTCCAGCTCAAGGAATGATTCACAGATGAAATTCACAACAACAATGGAAATGTTTGAGACTTTTAATTCCCAATCGATGAGGAATTCATTGGAAAAGGCTGATCCTTACTTCGCTCTAAAGAGATTCTTCTTCCAAGTCTCAGGAATCAGAATTGAACCGAAAACGTTGAATGAAATTAATCTCGACGTTGATCCATCAGTTAAAAGAATTTTCAGAAGAAACGTCAATTCTTTTGTTTCAGGTTTGATGGGTATAAAATTACAAGGAAAAGGTGTTCCGATATCCATTGATAAACCTGATTGGGTAACTAAGTATGTCAATGCTGCTGTCAGTGTTCATAATGAGTTATCCAAATTCCCAACTTTGTTTTCTTTCTGCGCTCAAATTCCTTTCTCAACAATGTTGATTTTGGATGATGATGAGTCAATTGAAATGAGGAATTTCATGTATAATGCTATTGTCTTGAAGTTCCCGAAGCTACAGAAGAAAAACAATGAAGGATTAAGAAGAGCTGCAGCCGATTCTGATGAAATGAAGAGATCAGATCTCAACGCTTCTTTGATATTGTTGCCTTACATTTTAAGACCTGAATTAATCAAGGATTTCATTAAGGAAGAAATCAAATAATATATTACTTTTACTTTGTATATATTTTAAATATTGTTGTATTTATTGTTTTGCGTATAATCTAATTTCTTTTTTAAACTCAATCAGTTATATTTATCTTCAATATTTAAATCAAAAGAATGTCATACACTCTATCACTATGATCCACATACCGATCATATTTATGATTTCTTTGTTGTTGACATTTTTAATAATTTCATGCAAATGCATGAAAATATGTAAGTCGAAAGGAATGAAAATAAAAAGATTAATAAGGATAAAAAGAGAAGAATTATCAAAAGATAAAGTTTATTTGAGTTAAAAGATTGAACTTAGAAACCACCACGAAGACGAAGAACGAGATGGAGTGTAGAATCCTTTTGGATGGAGTAATCTTGAAGTGTGTTGCCGTCTTCAAGTTGCTTGCCGGCAAAGATCAAACGCTGTTGATCTGGTGGAATACCTTCCTTGTCTTGAATCTTAGCCTTGACATCTTCAATTCTGTCTGTTGGTTCGACTTCGAGTGTAATGTGTTTGCCTGTGAGTGTCTTGACGAAAATCTGCATACCACCACGAAGACGAAGAACGAGATGGAGTGTAGAATCCTTTTGGATGGAGTAATCTTGAAGTGTGTTGCCGTCTTCAAGTTGCTTGCCGGCAAAGATCAAACGCTGTTGATCTGGTGGAATACCTTCCTTGTCTTGAATCTTAGCCTTGACATCTTCAATTCTGTCTGTTGGTTCGACTTCGAGTGTAATGTGTTTGCCTGTGAGTGTCTTGACGAAAATCTGCATCAAGAAAAATGAAGTGTTCTCGGAGTATGGAAATTTTATTCTCAAAAAAAAATTCCAGATATCATTTCAAAAATTGTTTTTATTTTAAAATCATATTTAATATCATATTGTTGTATAATATACAAAATATTATTGAGCAAAATTTTCATCAAATTTTGACATGAATTGATCAAATTCATATTCATGATTTTTTTACTGGATATATTTAATCAAATTCTAAGCGACCACTTATCATCTCTCAAAAAAATTTACTAAGTCAAGTTTTGATATGTAAATGATTACACTTCATTTTTCTTGATGCAGATTTTCGTCAAGACACTCACAGGCAAACATATCACACTCGAAGTCGAGCCAACCGACAGAATCGAAGATGTCAAGGCTAAGATTCAAGACAAGGAAGGTATTCCACCAGATCAACAGCGTTTGATCTTTGCCGGCAAGCAACTTGAAGACGGCAACACACTTCAAGATTACTCCATCCAAAAGGATTCTACACTCCACCTCGTTCTTCGTCTTCGTGGTGGTTTCTAAGTTCAATCTTTTAACTCAAATAAACTTTATCTTTTGATAATTCCTCTCTTTTTATTCTTATTAATCTTTTTATTTTCATTCCTTTCAACTTACATATTTTCATGCATTTGCTCAATCTCATTAATAATGTTCGGAAAGTAAAATGTTTATTAATTAGGTTGCTTTCATGAATCTTTTTGAAGAAGCACTATTTTCGTTTTTCTTCTACAGCTACATATAAAATAATCACTTATAAGGATCTGAAAGAAAAAACAAAATAAAATTGGGTAAATGAATCGTTAGATTTTCAATTATATCAATAATTCCTTCTTGCAATAATATTGGTGTAATAATGTCTGTGTATGAGAGTTGGAAGACTGTTAAATTTCGCGAAATTTTGATAAGTTTCGAAAACTATTTAGAGTATGTTCAAGTATTCTAAAATTTCATAACATGCAATGACATTAATTGTAAATAATCGATATTAAGTGATTGATGAAAATAGATATCAATAATTAAAATTTCCGAAACTTTTTTGACTGAATGCTATTGTCCTGTGCACCTGGAATGAAATTCTCCATGGTAATTTTGTCCAAATTTTTTTGATTTTGAAAAATGCCTAAGCAATTTTGTAGAAAATGATCACGTTTTTTACAATTCTAAATTTTTTTGGAAAAATGAGGTTAAGAATCTAAAAGATTCGAAATTATTAAAGAAAAAAAGCAATTTTATTATTGTATAAATCGATAAATGCATTTTATTTTTAGTATTCTATAGTTTTTCTCCTAAATGTGTCAATTATCCAGCAAAATTAAATCATAAATTTTTTATGATACAAAATAGAAACATATTTTCCAAATATTTAATTCAACCATAGTTTTTTTATCAAATTTAATATATAATAGCCTATAGCTTATCAAGTATTTCAAGCTATTAAAAAATATATCCGATTCAAATTAAGTATTTGCTACATATGTACAAAAAACTATTAAACATTCAGAAAACAATCAATGACATCATGATTTTATTCAAAGGTAAGTTCAAGTTATATATTTTTATTTGTATTTTGATAATAAACCTAAATAAAATATGTAAAAACTCGTATATTTAGATTTCTGATCATTACATTTTTATCTGTTAGTGACTGTTGCTACAGAGCAAGAAACATTAGAACTGTAAGTCATAATCAAATGGAAGTCAAGCCAAGATGCTTGAAACTTTATCAACCAATAGTGCGCATAATATTATATAAGAATGATTAGTCAATCTGTTATTTTGATATTAATTTAAACTTATTATGCCGAAATAGTACTTTGGTAATCATTGGTAATACATGAGGTTTCTACCGTTGCAATATTTCGAGAAAATAAATGTATCAACTTTAATGCTAGATTTTACGAATTGAATATCGAATAATTGGATTTTTGCAATGCCAATATTGTTCAATCTCTAGTGTATCATTGTTTCATACAAATGATGTGTCTCAATTCAGATTCATCGATCAGATAAAGCAGAAACAAAATACTCAGATGTCACTTTTTTGACCTTAAATCAGAGTTCATTCTTATGAACTCGGCTATAATTCTTCCGTATTAACATCAACATCCAAGATTCAAATCTGAATACAATTGATTTTTACCATTTCTTAATTTTTTCTCTCGAAACAAGTAGGAATAGTCAAAACTGTACGTTAAGGGAGTGACTAATGATTGATAACTTCTTTAGTACAGGTGGCACCACAAAAAAACAATCATCAAGTAACAAGCCTGCGAACAAGAAGAACATACCAGAGACAAAAGCATGGCTACCAAAATTACGACCAGCTACATCTGATTTTGATTTTGCATTAGACGCAACACAACACACAGATAAACCTCCAAATAAAGGTGAAATACCAGTACCTTCGCCAAAACCAGGCTCCTTAACAGGCATTAGAATTTGCGCTTCAGGAACATTACCTCATTTTACTCGTGCTGAGGTCAGAGATTTAATTACAGCATGTGGGGGCACTTTACAAGCAGCAATAAAGGATAATGTCGATATATTCCTTCGAGGCTGCCTTAATGTTTCTCAAGACAAATTAAATTCCGCTTTAAAGAAAGGCATCTCAGTGATTGACGAAGAAGGCCTTTTAGCTATGCTTGCTGCAGTGGGATGTACGAATATCGAAGGATTTGAAGCAGAAAAAGACCAAAAACATACCGAGGAAGTTCCTCAGTCAAAGTCAAAGGGACAACAAGAAGAGGTAATTAAAGAAGTTGAAGGAAAGAGAGTACAAAAGCCAGAAGTTAAACAACCAAAGCAGCAAACGTTAGCATTTGGTGGAATTAATTTCAATGATAAGAAAGAAAGTTCAGCTACAAACCTGATTAGCGAAAAATATCGTCCACAGAATCGTAATGACCTCATTGGTAACAAAGATCTTATAGAAAAAATTGACAATTGGTTAATTACATTTTCAAAGCAAGACAAGAAAGCTGTTTTAATAAGTGGCCCTCCAGGTATCGGTAAAACATCAACAGCTCTACTCCTTGCAAAGTCAAGAGGCTACCATGTTGTTGAATACAATGCAAGTGATGTTAGAAACAAAGCTGCAATTGAAGATATTGCAAAAACATTGTTTAATGGCAAAACTCTATATTCTTTTACTCAGCAGAATACTAATAACAAACAACACGCAATTATATTTGATGAAATTGATGGAATGTCAACAGGAGATCGCGGAGGAGTTCAAGCTTTGGCTCAGTTCATTGAGAAGTCAACATTTCCAATTTTTTGCATATGTAATGATCGCCAATCAGAGAAACTCAAGCCAATATTGAAATATGTTTTAGACATACAGTTTTCTGCACCAGATAAGAAAGAGATGATCCAAAGAGTCTTTGAAATATCCAAGCAGGAAGGCATCAAAATTGATAGAAAGAATTTATTTGCTGCAATTGATAAATCAGGTGGTGACATGAGATCTGCCTTAAATGCATTGCAGTTATGGTCATCAAATTGTGGAAATGCACATGAGAAAACAGCAGATGAATACGCAACAATGGATGGTTTCGAAGCAGCCAAGAAATTATGCACAGAAAAAGATTTCGAGAAAAGAATTTCTTTATTCATGGTTGATTATTATAAATGCCCTGATTTTATTCATGATGTATTGACATTTAATGGAAACATGAAACAATACGCAGATGCTTTAGATTCAATGAGTGATGGTGACACTGTTCAAACGATTCTCAACCAAGACCAGAACTACGATTTATTGATTCCTATGGGAATTATTGGTTGCGTTACTCCCCCTGCAGTTGCACCTGTAAAAGTAACATCAAATATGAGATTCCCAGAGTGCTATTTGAGAGCATCAAAGATGAACAAGAATAACAGGTTAATGCAGGAATTTACTACAAGATCTGCACGAGTTTTGCAGTCCACTCCTTCTACAATGAGAGAAAGCACTGCAGATATTCTTTCTGCAAAAATGCAAAATTATATTCAAGATCAGAATACTCAGGAACTCAAGAATCTTTTAGAGTTACTTGAAATTACTCCAGAAGATGCTGAGAATTTGAAGAGTATAGTTAGTTTCCAGTCAAAAGAAAAGGGTAAATCTGCATCACAGGATGACAAAGCTTCGCAAAAGTTTGTTACAACTTTCCAGAAGAAATTCTCAAAAACCCACTCAAAAACATCACTTTCTGCGGCTTCTTCACAAGATGAAAGAGCATCTTACTTCATTTCATCTCAAGAAATGCCAAAAGGAAAAGGAAAAGGCCGCGGTAAGAAGAAGAAATAAAAATCTAATTACATTTTTTATTGTGATATTATATATTAAAGCATCCTTTTAATACATTCATTAATGCCTTAAACTGAATTTGAAACAAGATGTATTTACTTAATAGCTTGAAAAATACAAGAATTTTGAATTTCATATTAGATAAAAATTGAATTTACAGAGAAATTTGATATTTTTTCGATATGATATAATTCAAAATCATAATGGATAGCAAATCAAAAATTGACCCGATTTGGAAATTTCGCTTTTATTTCTAGGAAATATCCATAAATTTTTATTTCATTATGAAAATGCTCTACAATTTTCCGAAAAAACAACATGTGTTGCTCTCATTTTTTTGTTGGCATTTTTTATTTCAAAAAATGGCCAATGATGAAGCATTAGTCATTGTTTTAGGAAACGAAGTTACACATGCATCATATGTAACAAAAACGAAAATCAAAAATATCAGTGATGGTCCTTATTCGAATTTCCTATCAATTATTTCTTATAGTAATAATAAGTACTTATACTCACATTTTGCGACCAGTCCATCTCTTGCCTTAGAAGATAAGACATGCAGGAACTTTATCAATGGCTTATTAGACAAAGCGAAGAAGCTAAATGAATTAACAAACTTTCAGTTACTCTCTATGTTTTTATCTTACATCTATAAAAGAGCACAAGAAGCAACTAAGCTTGACAAGATAAAAACATTGTATCTTTACTTCCCATTTTGGACATCAACAAATTATCGAAAGTATCTCAAGTCTGCTGCTCAATTTGCAATCGATGGAATTGAAATTAAAACAGCAACATTTCCATACTCATTCAATTTCTACTTATATGATACCAAGAATATAAATCCAGAAGAAAAAATTTTATATGTTGATTTCGGAGCAACCAACACAGAATTCTTCATTCTCAATAGTAAAAAAAACGATAAGGGACGCACTTTTAAATTACACAGCTTCGCAACCCTTAATTTCGGCGGAGATGATTTCACAAATATAATTTCGAACTTACTCAAAGAAAAGCTCATCAATCCAGATCTCAAGTTCGATGATCCACGCATTAAGAGAGCTTTTTGGGAAGGCGCCAACCATACAAAAGAAGTTTTCATTGATAACGCCAAAATTCCATTTAATCCCGTCGCAATTACCCACGTTAATGTACAAACATCCATCGATACCAAGGATTTCGAAAATGACGAGAGTTACAAACGTATTCTTCATTTCTTAAAATCTACAGTTGAAAAAGTGATGGAATCTCAAGATCCAAAGTATTTCGTCTTCCTTGGTGGTGGCTGCCACTTCAACTGCTTTGCCGATGCAGTAAGAGAAGAAATTAAAAGATGGATTCCAGAAATCGAAGAAATTCATCCGAATTCTACCATTGATTTCAAGAAAGAAGCATGTTCTCTATATGTACAACAGATCTTAAACGGTTCTAAATTTAATAAAATGAGACTTTCCAACGAAACAAGAAAGGACAAAAAATACATGTTCACAGAGGAAAGGACAAATATTTTCAATGATAAAACTTATGACAAACCTGTCAAATTTAACGAGGAAATGACAAATTTGTTAAGATATAAAACAAATTCTCGTAAATATGGTGTAATTCAATCACTTAAGGAAGATGTTGAAAATGCCAAACCGAAAGAACCAGAAGTTGACTTGGACAGCTTGCAGAATGATGTTTCTGGAGTTATAATTGCTTACAACAATTTAATTGGTCTCCTTGATTTAGATGAAGATGAAGTTGATGAAGATAAGTGCGAATCTGAAGACATAAATGAACTTCAAGGTATCTTGAAAGATTTAAGAGAAAAAGCATTAAATCACGCAAATGAAAATATCGATGTTATCAAAGAATGTTTCAAAGTTCCTTCAAAGTTGAGGAAAGTTAAAATGTTGTTTACAGATGATTTCATTAATTCACACAAATAAATATATTATAATAAATAAATTCTTTTGTCCTGCTTTTTATAGACAAAAACTATTTTTTTTCTTTCCATTATTTAGATTGTTTGATATTGTTTGATATTGTTTATATTGTTGAATTTGTTTGATATTGTTTCCATTATTGAATTTGTTTGATATTGTTTGATATAATTTCCATTGTTTGGATTGTTTGATATTGTTTATATTGAGTAGATTGTTTGATATTGTTTGGTGTTGCTTCCATTGTTGAATGTTTATATTGTTTGGTATTGTTTATATTGTTTGATATTATTTCAATTGTTTGATATTGTTTGGTATTGTTTATATTATTTGATATTATTTCATTTGTTGAATGTTTAGATTGTTTGATATTATTTCAATTGTTGAATGTTTAGATTCTTTGGTGTTATTTCAATTGTTGAATGTTTAGATTTCTTGATATTATTTAAATTGTTGAATGTTGAATTTGTTTGATATTGTTTATATTGTTGAATGTTTAGAATATTTGATATTGTTTATATTGACAGGACAAGTAAAAGTAGAAATAAATTCTATAAAATGAAATGATCAATGAATTTTTTAATATTTTTTGCACATTATAGCTAAATAACTTTAAATAAATCAAACAAAAACTTTATTTTATTCAATATAAACAAATAATTATTAATTTTTTTTTTCTCCTAGTCAAGACTATGATTATTTTCAATAATCATTGCCCTTATTTTGAAGAAATCAATTAAGGCTTTGAGATCTCCGTGGATGTTGAAGATTTGATACATTTCTAACGGAATTCTTTGTTTAACATAAGGAAAATAAATCAACATCTTCATGAAATAGTATGCAAACACGCTAATCTGCTGTGATTTATCATTTCCAGAGATTGCCTTTTTACAAAATTGAATTACCATTTCTAATCTTTCGTCAAGGCCTTCCTTCATGCTTATAATCATCATATAGCAAAATGGAACAATTAATTTTAGCTCAATTGTACTAAAACTATTATTGGAAACCATGTTTGTCAGCATTTTAATCATATTTAATGGTTTTTCAGGGATTTCATCAAATGTTAATGAAATTGATGCTGATAAAATACCAGACATAATCATATAGATGTCATCGTAGTCGGAAAATCCCGGAGACCTTGAAATTAAATTGAATATTTTGTCAATTAACTTTTTTTCTTCGTTTAAAGATGCATAGGCTCTACAACATAGCATGAAATCATAAAAAATCAAATAAGGATCTAATAAATAGAAATCTGTCTTCCCAAAAATTGATGAAACTAAAATTTCGAGTTCATCATTAAGTCTGTCTGAAAATCTAATATATAGATCATATTCACAATACTCAGAGATCTTAAATCTCTTTCCATCGCTGATAAATACTATTAAAAGTGAATATAAATCTTGAAATATGGAATAATTTGGGAATTTGATCTTAAAAAACTTTAAGGGCTCTTCAGTTTTGATGGTAAATGCCCAAGCAAAGACAGATATCCAAAGATATTGATATTGTTTGAGAAATTCTAATAATTGTTCAAAATTTTGAGTTCCATTATGCAGAAGATAACAAAGAAACGCATAACATCTCTCTATATGCGAAGATGATGACTGAATACCTTGTAATGAGTATTGATATGCAGAATCTAAGTCAATTACGGCAGTTTGCAAAAAACAAGATAACAAATAATTCGTATACATAGATGTAGATAAAATTATTGATACGATGGTCGATCGTATTGAAGGTTCACCACCTTTCCAAAATTCTTTCATCAAAGTTATCAAACAGAAGATTAAATCAGTAAATGTTTGTTGGTCATTAATATTCTGGAGTCTAAAAAGTGTTACATTTAAAAATTTTTCCAAATTTTTGGTCGATAAAATTAAATAATCGAAATCTTGAAAATTAGCAGTAATTTCTTTGCATGCAGCCTTAACATCTTCATTATTATCGGAATTCAGCAAATTTATGTAATGCGGAATTATATTTGAAATTAAAGACGGATATTGATAGATTAGATTCAAATAATGAATATCATTGCCATCATATAGCTTTGTGAATCCATTTAAATGATCTTTTTTGTTAATTTTATATTCATCAAAAAATTGATCTGGAATTGCGTTGATTACATCGACAAACTTATCAATATCGAAGCTGCAGTCAATATCATCGAAAGGTACTTCAACACCTTGCATCTTTAAATGAATAAGAGGTGATAAAAAGCTTGTAAGAATGAAAATAAAAGAAACTCGTGGATTTTTGTAGTGATAACTCAAAAGAAGTAAATAAATACGTTGTAATGTTTGAATATTATTCATTCGAAGCATGAAAACATGGTTAAGCATCTTATGAAAGACAGAAAAAAATAAATCAATTACATTTTCGGTAAAAAACAGTTTTGGATGCGGATAATTAAGAGTTTCGTTCAATGAATAGACAAGGTTTGCTTCTAAGTGGTTTTTTGTACTAGCTTTGAAGTTTAAGTTGAGTTTTTGAAAATTAATTTTGAGTTTTTTGTAGTATTCCGGAAGAAGAACACGGGCAGCAGCAATACAAACTGGTAAATAATGAGAGCATGATATTTTTTTGAGAATAACTTCTAATAATTTTTGATCTTGGCATTTAAGCGCAATTTCGAGTATTTTTAATGCTGAATTACATGAGTCAATTGAATAGATTTCATCAGGATTGAATATTTTTTCTCCATATTGCGAAAATGTTAGAATACAACCGTTTATTTGGTTTGCATCATCTAAATCTATAGATTTTGCTGCTTCAACAGAGAAATTTTGGAATAGTGATGCTAAATATTCATATAATAAGATAATACTGTTCTCTAAAGTGCCACAAATTATCGATAACATTTGAATAATTGATTGGAATTCATTCATGTGGTTATTCTTTATAATTTCAGCAAATTCATCTGGTTTCATGCCTTGATTCCAACATTCTCTAATAAATGTTGAAGTCATGCAATTGAAAGAGAAAAGTGACAGATTTTATAAAATTTCAGAAATTATCAATTACATATTATTGGATAAATTGAAATATTTGATTCAGTAGTTTCAAAATTTAATGATATTTTCAATAAACAAAAATTTTTAGAGGAAAGATTAACAATTCTAATTAGATTAAAGGCTGATATGGGAAAGAAACTTTATGACCTTTGGATTTGCACTTCATAAACAGAAAAACTCCTATCAAAATAATGAAAATAGCAATTAATACGTAAGATATATCGATTGGGAGTGGTGGAACATCATCAAAAACTATGTAATCAACATTAGTAACATCCAAATGCTCAACTGGAGTTAAAATTATTTTCTCAATTTTTTCTCTTGTTTTACACTCAATTAAGATATGGCCATTGTTAGAATATACATAATGGGAAACTGATTTATTTGCAAAGTATATTGAGCACATGATTTCTGGATTAATTTTTTCAATTTTACAATATAAATTATATATTAAATGATAGTATTTTCTTTTGTATATCATAATATTGCTTGGAAGATTGTACCCATGTTGAATTTTCACCTTTTTGGCATCAATAATGTTAAATTCAAAAATTTCACAGATAATATTGCAACAGTAGTCATCAACAAAGATACTTGGAATATAAAATTCCATATATCCGCCTTTTCTTGTTATGTTTTTCTTACTTAACAAAATTCGATTCTTTGATTCAAAATCTGATGCAAATAATCGAATCAAAACTGTTTTATTGAAGATATTATTAATTGTTACTCTTTGTAAGATACTTGCATTGATTGTTTCTGGTAGATCTTTTAAAATTTCAGTTCGAATTTGATAATTTTCAAAAGGATTTTGGCCAAAATGAATAGTAGACATTGATAAATTCGGTTTTACCTTTGTTCCAGATACTTTTATTGTACTGTTTACAAAAACATTTGTATCAGATAAAATATGAGTTCTAATTCTTAATTTCCAAGATCCTTTTGCATTTTCACCTAAAAATCCACGACACAAAAACGATCTATTATATCTTCTACCTTCTTCTTTGATCATTGCTGCTGTTTTAATATTAGATATCGTATTTTCAGGAGAAATCAAATCAATAAGCATTGTAGAATAATCCATAGTATACAAACTAACATCAACAGATACAGTTTCAACAAATAAATCTTCCGAAATATCAAATTTGATTTCACAAAATCCATTTTTGAAATTTCCATATGATTGTTGAAAAATTTTTGTTTGTTTTGGCAGAACTACATTCCATTTCTTTGCCATTTCAATCATTTCTCCAGCATTTATTCTACCAAATCCATATACACTTGAAAACAGATATCCAGCAGAATTCTTTTTCCATGAAAAATGAAATGGATCATTTTTGGTTGATGTCATTGCAATTATATAGTAAATATCTCTTCTAGTTAAGTTACTATTAACTTGTAATGCTAATGCAATCACACCTGCAGCGATAGGCGCTGATGCTGAAGTGCCAGCAAATTTTTCGGTTAAACTAAAAGGTGACAAATTTGATGTGCTGATTAAAAACGGTTTTTCTGGCAAATCAATGGAAGAAGTCAATGAAGAAGGGGTATTACATATCAAAGCAGTACCTCTACATGAATAGAATGCTCTATCACCTCGGTTTGTCGTTGAAGAAATCATCATTGACTCTTCTTCAATAGAAAAGAGTTGAAAATTCGAATCACAAAGATATTCTCCGTCATTTCCAGCAGCAAATAATAATATCTGGCCTTTATCATGTCTACCATGACTAGTATTATGCAATGCATCTGCAATTTTGGGTATTCGTTCATAAGATCTGCATTTTCCTTGATCACAATTATCAATTGACCAAGAATTGACTTGTATATCTATTTCATCAATGTAATGATTAAATATTCTTGAAATAGTAGATACTCTGAAGTTTTCTTGAAATATTATTGATGAAGAATAAGTTGAATTCGGTGAAATTCCAAATGGACAAGAATCTGTACGTGAACTACTCATAATTCCTAAAACTGATGTACCATGTGAGTCAAAAAATACAGAAGATGGTTGAGAAGTATTTCTTTCATTCGAAAAATCGTAATTATATTTTTTCGAGAGTTTTGTATTGAAACATTGATGCGATTCGTATATCCCATTATCGTTTACATGAATGTGAATTCCGTTTCCATCATATTCGTTAGAAACTACTGTAGAAAAATTTATATCTTCGTTTTTGATGCCATTATCTTGGCCATCGTTGATTAGATAGAATGGGATATGATTCGAGTTTTTCTTAATTTGAAATTACTCTAAGATTTATCAAGAACAACTTAAAGTAAATGCAAATTTTTATTTTTGCCACGTAAATTGTCAAATTATTTATTTTATAATGTTATTTCTTCTTAGTATAGCTAACAATACAAATGCAAAATGCAATGTTAGAAATACATTTCGTGATGAAAGTGGCGAATGCAAGTGTAAACCTCATTATTTTGGCGATCCAGAAGATCAAAAAGTTGGATGTTGGACTTGCAAGCCAAGATGTCACCGAAATGCAATTTGTTCTGGCCCAAGCCAATGCAAATGCAACGGTGGATACTATGGTGATGGAATCAATTATTGCAAACCAAATCATTTCCTTCCGAAAATACTCTCAATTCATCCGAAAACAGTTCAATCATTCAGTAATGACTTTATAACAATCAAAGTAAATCATCCCATACCACCAAATGCAACAACATATGCTATGTTTGACATTTTTATTTCGAAATGCAATCACATAGAAACAGCATTACATTGTCAAGTTCCGTCATTACTCCCAATTAATTCTAGTGTTAAAATATCTTTTAATGGAGCTGATTGGAGCATTGAAAAATTTTATCTTCCTTTTGTGAATACACAGCTTCATGACGATTCAATATACTTCACATCGTTTATTGCAACGTCATTATTAGCCGCATATATTATTACTATGTGGCCTAAGAAGAGTCGTCTTGGACAAGTTCATGCACTCAAAGAAGCTGAAGCAAATTCTCATAGTAGATTACCAAGTATTAAGAAATTATCACAAAATCCAGAGGAAGACATGCTTTAATTAGAGTTAGAATGTATTTTTCTTTCCTTCGCTTTTATTTTGTGCTTTATACTTTATATTTGTTTTGTTATAAATAAAGATGTTAATTTGTTACGTAATTTTTATAGTAAAATCTTTATAATTTTCATTATAATTTGATTTTTCATATGTACAGATTGTTAGCTTATAAATAATCACAATTTCCTCCAAAATGTTTATTTCTGAATTGAAATAGATTAATTTCATTTTCAATTTTAAACATCAAAATCTAATTCAAGCTAAACTACTTTTTTAACATATAAACAAATCAAATTCAGAGGTACTAAATAGAATGATTAGAAACTGCATGATTACCATTTAAAAAATTAAAATCAAAAATATTGGAATTCAAAGATATAGTTTAGTAGTAATTTATAAACAAAAACGATGAATTATAATATAATTTGATGATTTTGACATATTTTTATATGATTGAGACAAATTCGCTTTCAGATCCAGCAACAGCTAAAACGTAATGCTGAAGCATGTAAGCAAGTTCATCTGGATCATCCTGCATCTCAAGTCTCATGATTTTCATGAAGTTTTCTCTTGGAATTACAGCTTTCATTGTTTGATTCAAATCAATTGATTTGGCATGCTTGAAACCAGCATTAATGCATCTATCCTTATGAGATGCAATTGTTGGATACATCTTAATGCCTTTAAGAGGAGCTCCAAAGCTATCGAAATTCTTTACCATCATTTTACCAAATTGATCATCTGGTTTGACCATTCCGTAGCTAATGAAGGCATTTGACTTGAGAGATGCTGCAAATTTAAGGATTTCATCAACAGCAACTGGATCAACGTAAATAAGTGTGCATTCATCAATAAATATTGTAGGAATATCTTCAAATCCATGCGAATTAAGTTCTTGCTTAACCATTTCTGGCTTTGATAAGTCAGCATAGAATAAATGATAATTATCCATTGGTTCGAAGCTGTTGGAATTGATAACTTGAGATTTCTTTTTAACAACATGTTGCATATCTAAATCAAACCAATTTTTGACTGTAACCTTTTCGTCTCTGAGTCTCCAAAATAATGTATCGTAGCCGCAGCCCAAAACAACGACTTGCATGTTGGATCCGTGAATTTCATGGAATTTCTTGACTGCTACATAGATTGCTTGTGTTCTTACATAGTAACCAAGATTCATTGGAGGTAATTGCTTTAATTCTTGAGGTACGAAGCAGCCAATGTATCTATCATGGTAGTAACCACGCTGAACAGCACTTAGTTTTGCATTGGCGGCATCCATTGCTGTATCCTCGACTGAACCGAGCTCTCGGAAAGCACTCATCGATTTTTGAAAAAATTATTACACTTTACATTAAGGGTGCACCCGTATGTACGTTTATTTGAGAGGAGGAGGATTACCCTCTCAATTTTGAGGGATTCGTTAGTTTATTTTCTCGATGAATATGCAATAAAATTTGATTTTTACCTTATCAATATACTTCATATAATATACACATGTTCATGTAAAAACTTTTTTCCAAAATCCTCAGGAATTAAGGGATTTTTGAATTTTAAGAATTTTTTTCGAATTTTTTCGAAAAAAAAATATTTTCAGAACAGCCTTAACGGCTAAGATTTAGGAACAATGTTAAGTATCAAAAAGAAAGGAGGTCTGATATAGACAACATATATCGTTGAAGGTTGAAAAAATCTCTAATATTTGAGCCCAAAATTTCAAATTTTAATTTTTTGAAAAAAGAGGCCACCCGTATGTACGTTTATTTGCGAGGAGGAGGATTATATTTTTGAAAGGGTGAAACATTATGAATATGTTAATTATATAATAATATGTATTATTATAAAAAAGAAAAAATAAAGCACGTTAAAATTTTTCTTTCTTGATTTTTTACAAAATCTACTTAGAATTATGCAAAATATGACTAAATAATTATAAATTTCAAGTTAAATTTTAATTTGATAAATAATTTAAATTTCAAATATCAAGTTCAGTTCGACTATGTATGTAGTAATTCCTCAATAAAGTGCCAAAACCCTATTAAAATATATGAACATTTTCAACATTTTAATGTTTTTATTTAAAAATTTGTTGGAATATGAGCTTCAAACAATTATTATGTAAATAAAAATAATTAAATATATGCATTTATTCGTATTACAACCGTAGTAAGTCGATTCTTCCTTTCTTCTACTGAGGTTTGAATTTGATTTCGAATTGTAAAGAGATTCAAAGGGAAAATACTAGCGGATAAAAACTACCTCCATGAAAGGGTCATAATGGAGTCAAGTTGTATTTTTTGATATTTTTTGCTTTTCGAGCCTAAATAGGTAGCCAAGATAATGCCTAAAAATAAGGTTCTAAATTCTGAAGTTTACATGATCCTCTCGTGTGCACCCTTAATCTAACAGCATCATTATTACATATGTATTAAGTTCCACAAGACCATTGGGTGATTTTGTTGGAATCTCCGTTCAAATTTTTCATGAAAACCTTTGGTGATTATAGTATGAAATTCTTTCTTTATAAAGAACATAATCACGGGACTTTAAAAGACTAAATAATATATCTTCGAATATTTTGAAAAATATAACTTTCTTTTCTTAAATTCTTTCAGGCAATTATATTTCTTTATTTATATACTCAACTCTAATCAAGTTTTCACATCCTGATTACAGCTTTGTTTTTTCAATGGACAAAAAAATTAGTTGTTTATTGAGCAAATTGTTCACTATCCAATACGAAAGCATCGGATCCACTTATGAATAGTCGAATTTTATTTTGTCAGTAATTGTCCAGATATCAGATGGAGTTTCCAATTAATCGATGCGATCTTACCAAACATTTTCCTTGTATTGCAATTCTGATGAATTTTCGTCTATTTTGATTATATTTTATTTATATTTTGAATGTTCACAAAATTTTCTTAAATTGAAAATATTATCAGAAATATTTGATTATTCAATTTTTAAAATATTCTAAAAATGATTTTAACACGATATTGTGATTATTTGGTTAGCAATAAGATAATAGATAATTGAGACACAATTCAAAAAATCTGACATTATGAAATAATTTATCTTAGATTAGACTGTATGTTTTATTTTAGAATAAATTCAAATAAATAAAAAATTGTAAGGATTCAAAATATCTAATTTTAATGTTGATCTCTCTGATTTATGTACGCTTTGATAGGCTAGAAGCAAGAACAATGGCTGAAGTCTGTAGTAGATACAAATCAGATGTTTCTAGTATAAGTTATAGCTTCTCTGGAAAACCACCTTATCCAGATCAGCAAGGAACATGCACACAGTATAGATACGATAAAGAATCTGATGATAATAAAGGACTCAAGGAACTCAATTATATGCGCTGGCTTGTTGGATTTAATACGCCTGTTACTCTTGATTCTAGATATGATTATGAACAAGTTCAGTGCGCAATTTGTAACGTCAAGAATAGAAGATTAAATCATAGACCTAGTACTAGTACACCATGCTATTCAACTGCAGCATATGCTGGATGTTCAACTTCAAACCTGGGGGCAGGTTATGGCTCTTTTGATGCTGCAAGAGCAGTGCAACAATTCATTCAAGATCCAGGTGTTTATAATGAAAATTTGGGACATAGACGATGGGTGTTTTCCGAAGGACTTACGTCAACAGCATTCGGAGGTGCTTATAACTCTGTATCAAGTTATCAACAAGGTTTCACAAATAGTGTTGCAATGAAGACTACTATGAAATTTGGTGAAGGCACACTCTTATTCACTGCATATCCATCACCTGGCTATTTCCCTGCAAGATTTATTTATAATAGATTCAGTTTTTGGGCACCTGGAATTCGTGAAAGAGGACCATTACAAATATCTGTAAGTATCGATGGAGAACCTCAGAGAATTGGTGCTATTGTATACACAACCGGTAATTATGGCGGAAATCAACGTGGAGCAATGTTTAATCTTACTAGCTATCCTGAAGACAGGTTGTATCAAACAGATTACCAAAAATTGATCGGAAGGAGAATAGATGTTCAGGTTGAATATAATTATAATGTCTATGAGTATACAATCTTACCAGTTGATTGTGATTCTGCAGAAATTTCCACTCCAACACCAAACACACCAATTCCAATCACTCCTGTCCAAAATACACCAACAACGAAACCCAATATAACAGATCCTCCTTCAGACCATGCAGATATGCCTCAAACAAATACAATGCAACCTGACTCTACTATTCCCACATCTGAAAACAAAAATCAAGGAAATGAAACCGGAAATCAAGTAAGTAACAATGGTTCAGATAATGGCATGAAGAAAAAGCTAATAATAGGAATTGTAGTAGGCTTGGTATTAGTAGTTATCATAATTGTGGTTGCAATAATTGTTATCAAGAAAGCTTCATCCAGCCAAAACAACAATGAAGTTGAGAAGACCGAAGAAATTTCCACATTCAGTATTTAACCATTTATAGTAAAAAATCCAAGATAATATAAATCTTCATATTCTTTTTTTCATTTCCAATAGCTTGTTCATTACCAACCTTTATTGAAAATTGCAATTTACTAAATGTAATATTCTAAAAACAAGAAATCGTGAATATTTTATATGCTGATTAATATGGCAAAAAATTCTTTTATATTATACAACATAGAAATATAGTTTATTGCAATTCAAATTTACAAATTATTATAATACCACATTTTGAGATTGATTTTATCAACTTCATTATATAAAGATAACTTCTGGAGTTTCAAATCACGCAAATGGTTCTTGTGTCTGTTGATTTCGAAGTCAGTATGGCTCTCAGGCATCGTTGTATTTCTCAATTCCATTCTTTTGATGAGAGATTTCTGATTTTGTATATCAGATTTAACTGATTTGATTTTAGTAACATAATTAGTTATTTCAATTTCATATTCTTGTTCCCATTTGTAATCTCTTCCACCAATAGATTTGATGTAATGAGCTACAGGATTCCTTTGTACTGCTTCTGATGAAATATTTACTGGTCTATTCTTCAATCTCGAATGCATATCTAAAGTGTTCGAATGGACTTTATGATTTTGATTATTTGTCTGCATGAAATTGAAACTAGGAACATCTTGTTTCCAATTAGTGTAACCCAAAGGAGTATCTCTGAATTGGTCTTCGATATTTACGTCTTCTCCCAATTCAAGTAACTTTTGAATGAGTTTAATTGCTTCTTCATCTTTAATTTTTGCGGCATGATGAATTGGATGCAATTGCAATGCTCCTGGCAAATCAGGAATCGCTCCTTTATCCAATAGATAGTAGCACAAATTGAAATTCTTCATTTCAATTCCAATTATCAATAAAGTGTTTTGATCTTGGTCATAAGCATTTGCCATTGCTCCTCTGTCAATTAGGAAATAAACACCATCCACAAATTGTTTCTTTAAAAGTTTGCAAACAATTGTGTTTCCTGATGAATCAGTTTCATTCAAATCTACACCTCTTTTCACGAATTCATCCGCTATATCTAATTCCATTGCCATCATTGCATGCGAAAAAGCAGAGTTTCCATCATGATCTCTCAAGAAAATATCACAACCATGATTCAAGATCCATTTAATTACGTTTTTGTTCTTTGCATCAACTGCACACATCAAAGGAGTTTGACGTTTATAAAGCGAAGGAAAATCAACATAAAAACCTCTATTTGTCAAGAACTCGATGTAATAAATAGAATCCTTTTGTTGTGCTGCTTCATGTATTGGGAAATTTCCTGATTTCGCTGGAATATCAATCAAAGCACCAGAATCAATTAACAAATCAAAAACTTCTTTTTGATTTTTACTGATTGATTGGATCAAAGGTGTTGTTGTATTCAAGGAAACATTGACATCAGCTTTATGATCAATTAACTTCTTAACAGTTACAATGTTTCCTGATTCAATTGCGTAGTTTAATGCAGAGAAAGGAATAGTATCTAATGTATTAACACTTACATTGTTATCAAGTAAATAATCAATGAAATCTTGGTATTGATTTATAACAGAAACGATTAAGGGAGTTCTTCCATTTTGTCCTTCTTCGTTAATATCAAAACCAAGATTCAACAAAACTTTGAAGTCATTCAATCTGTTTTCTTCAACAGCTCTATGGAGTGCAGACAAAGTTGTCATTGACTCCATTTGTGCTCCATTTTCTAATAAGAATTTAACACATTCCTATTGACAATAAAGAGATGCTCTCGAAAGAGGAGTTTCTTTCAATAAAACTTCATCGACATCGAAACCTAATTTTAATAATCTTGCAAGCATATTAACTCTTCCTTCAGCAGCTGCTATATGCATTGCTGTGAGTTCTGTATCATTTCTTGCAAGTTTATTTGCTTTCTTTTGCAATAAGAACTTCATTGTTTTCCGGCTTTCATTAAGAGCTGCAATTAAGAAAGAAGTATTGTAATGAGGACCTCTTTCTTCCAAGAAATTCTTATCGTATCTAAAGAGGTATTCAACAATTTCTGGTTTATCACTTTTAGCTGCCATGTGGATTGCCATTGATCCACTTTTTGTTCTCGCGTAAACATCGCATTTCTTTTTAATCAAGAACTTTAAAACATCCAAATGTCCATTGAAAGCTGCAATATGCAAACAAGTATTATCATTCCAGAATTTCTGGTTAACATCGAAATTGGCAACCTTGAAAAGATATTTACCAAGTTCTACGTTACCTGATTGGCAGCTGTAATAAAAAGCATTGCATTGATTAACATCAACTTCTGTAACATCGAATTTATTTTCTATCAAGAATTTTACGACTTCGTATCTTCCAGCTTTGCATGCAACCAATAAAGGCGATATCCAATAAATATCTCTTGTTTTTGTATCTACAACTTGTTCAAGAAGATATTGTACTGCTTGAAGATTTCCTCCTTCGCAAGCTGCGTAAAAAGGAGTAATTGAATTTCTTGTCAACTTTTTAATGTTTGCTCCGTTTTGCTGCAAATATTTTATTAATTCAACATTTCCTGAATAGCAAGCCATGATGAAAGGTGTTGATTTATCTGGTTCTCGCTCTTGGTTAACATTTAATCCATGATGTATTGCTAATTGACTCAACATTAAGTCACCTTTTCCACAAGTGAAGTGAAGTAAATTCATTCCAATATTATTAACTTTAGTTAGATCTGCACCATGATCAATAAGATATTGTGTTAATTCTTTATAACCTTTTGAGTAAGCAATATTTACTAAAGAGTCTCCAGTAATACTAATATCATTAATATTGCAATTCTTTGATAACAAATATTCCAAAACATTTTGTCTGTTATTTTGCACGGCGTAAACAATTGGTTTTTCTCCAGATTGGCTTTGTTGGTTTGGATTTACACCTTTAGATACAAGATATTGAAGAATATCAACATTTCCTGATACTGCTGCCAAACAAAAAGGAGTCATTCCATCAGAGTAAAACTTATTGAAATCAAAATTATGTTTTTCAACCAAAAATTTGACAATGTTTAAATGACCAAATTCGCAAGCAATCGATAAAGCATTCGCATTCTTATTGGTCATAACATTCAAATCAGCACCTATATCTATCAAGTACTTCAATGCTTCTAATTGTCCTGTTGAACATGCAGCTAAAACCGGTGTCAAACCGATTTTTGATCTCACTTCTAATTGTCTTGACTTTTCCAGCAAGTAATACTTTATTTCAGGAATATTGCCTTGCGATGCAGCTATCAATATGTTCCTATCTTTTTCAATTTTAACTTGTTGATCACTTTTTGACATTTGAACAAAAAGTGACCTTGTTAATTTTGAAGGACAAATCATCAACAAACCTTTCATTGAGAATTGACTACTTCTAGATATTTTTTCCAAGATCATTTTAGCTTCATCAATCAATTCCATTTCCAAAGCTTGTTTGAGCGCATTCATAACAGCATTAAAATTATCAAGATTGATTCTTACAAGCATTTCTTCGAGAAAACGGATTTTCGTACAAAACAGCATAAGAAAAAGCGGAATGACCACGAGAATTGGTATAATTAATATTGGGATTGTGGTTTAAAAGGTATCCTGGCACTCTAAAACCATATTTTAATGAAATCATTAGTGCTGATTCATCATCAGAGTTCGTAGAATTGATATCAATACCATTTCTTATCCAGAAATCACAGATATTCACGTTATCACCTCTGCATGCCATTAAAAATGCATCTTTTTTGCTCGAAATGAAATTTAATTTAATCAATTCTTCAAGAACTGCTTGTTTTCCTTTCAAACACGCGTAAAGCATGGCATCGCAACCTTCTACACGTGAATTAAACGTGTTCTGGTTCGCTAAATAAACAATAAAGTCACTTCTTCCATATTCAATCGCATAAAAAAGTGCGTTTTTGCCAGAAGGATCCTGATAAGTGATATCCTGACCGTACATTAGCAATTGCTTGGCAACTTCAATGTGGTTGAACTCAATTGCAATCATTAAAAGTGATTTGCCGTTCTTGATGTCGTAGAAATGAAATCCGACTTGATGAAGAATGGTAATTACTTCGTTTCGGCCATTCTTTACTGCTAAAATCAAGGCATTGTCGCCATCTGAGTTCACTGCAAAGCGATTACAGCCGAATGTAACTAATAATTTTGCAATTTCTGCATTTCCTGATTGACGGGCTAGTAAAAATGGTGTATTGCCTTGTTCACCAACTTCATCGATGTTCTTGCCGATTTTGAGTAAGTATTTGACGCCATCAACCGAATTTTCTTGAACTGCTTCGTAAATTTTGCGTTTTCTGTATTCAGGACCGTTGTAACCTAGTATGATTGCTCGTGTTTCGTCGTTTCCGTAGTATAAAGCCATTCGTTTCTGTGATGAAATGTAACTCGGATTTGCTCCTGCATTTACTAGGATTCTCACAACATCGTTAAACTTTTTGTGTGCTGCTATCATCAGTAATGTTTCATTCCTTACGATAATATTTGGATTTCCACCATTTTGAATCAAAACTGAGACAAGTGCTGCATTATCTGCTTTAATTGCGTAGTAGAGTAGTGGAAAGTTTTCTTCTGATCTTGAATTGACTTAATAACCTTCATTAACTCGAGGAGTGATCGCTTCAAGTCTTCCTGATTTGACGCTTTCCAATAATTCAAGGTCTGCATATGGTAATGTAGAGCATTCGATAAAATAATTCATAAATTGCACATTATCACTTATAAAATCCATCTATTGCTGACAAAAAATTATTGATCCAAAAATTTTGAATTAATTTTTTTTTCAAAAGGTATTAGACCCAAAAATACAAGATCTTTCAATAGTTTACAATATTCGAGATTTACACAGATCCGAAATACAAATGACTGGTCATATCGATTGCGCGTTGCTGGATTTAAGATATATTCTAGTAGTATACAATATATTCATATTCCATTTTCTCCAATAAGAGTAGATATTTGATGAATTCAAACGTTGATATCATCTAAACATCTTTTTATGTATTCCATTGAATAAATATCTAATTCAATTTATTTAATTCATCATATCTCTAGAATTAAATGAAGTTTGATTCAAAATTAAATTTTTTTGAAATATTAATCAATCAACCAATAGTACTTATCTCATTATTAAAGTATTTTTCATTAAATTTGATTTATCATGAAGGTTTTCTATTGAAATGATAATTTGACAACTTCAAAAATAGATGATAAAGGATTTAGTTTATTCGAATGTTAAAACTTTCGGGGAGCTTACGGAAGACTATGAATTTCAAACTATTGATGACATGGCTTTCCTCCGTAAAGATATGTTCCCTCTCGGCTTTTTAAATCCGATTGAACCAACACAAAATTGCTATTCAATGGGAAAGTCATCAGGCATGATAGCAATTTCACGTGAGAATTATGGAATCGGAGCATCTCATCCATATATCGAGTATTATGATGCTAGATCCGAAAAACTTGGAGGAATTTCAATGAAATCAAACGGAAATTTGGCCTTCGTTCATGTTTTACCTACTGATGAAATTATCGCTGTTTCTGATTCCGGTACGGTTTCTCGTATATCTTATGGCGTAGAAACAGTAATTTCAACATTAAACTTACCCAATCTATTAATCAACGCTGCAGCATTCTACGATGGTGGAGTTGTTGTTTCTACAAGTGATGGAAATATTATTGATATCGAAAATTACGACAAACCAAATATTGTCCAACATTTTGATAATATCGCAAGACCTAGGTGCATGACCGCAATCCCACCATCGAAATCAAATACAGAATCAATTATTATCATGTTTCTTGACAATGGACATCTTTTTGTCATTGATGATCGAAGATATTACGAAATGAAACTTTCAAAATACGTTTTGGCTATTGCACCAAGTTACAGTTATTCTAAGATTGCCATTTTACTTGAAGATTTTACAATTATTGTTGCAAATCAGGCACTTGATAAAATTTATTACCAAACTCAAATAGATTTGAACGATATGGAAGATTTTCAGATGATGACATGGATTGGCGATATCGTTCCAGCTCTATCTTTTAACGGCGCCGTTATTTTGGGCACAGAAGATCCATCATCACCAGTTTTCTTCGTAGATGGCAGCCCGTATCTATTTATGGAGTGCGATTCTATATATTCAATCACTCAGACAGAAAGTTTCCGTATCGTTGCAGTTCCAAACAACGTTTTCAAAGTATTAAATAAATATTTAGTCGAAAGAAGCGATGGAGTGAAGCTTTGTGAGATCTTTGATAACAGACTGACTGAGCCATTCGTAGAAAAACTGTCCGCGATCAACGACGTCCCTTCTGCGATAAATGATATAATTTCAACCGCAGAATTTGTCACAGACAAAGCTTCCCAAGCGTATTTCGTAGCTGTTGCATGTTTTGTAAACTCTTACTCCAACAAAGGCCGTGGAACGATGATCGGAGAAGTTTGTAGAAAATTAAGAGTGGCAAATTGCATATTAGAGTACGGAGTACCAATCACATCGAAGCAATTAGATGAAATAGACTCTACAACAATCCTCCAGAGGCTCTGCAAGCGCAAACAATTCGAAGTTGCTTATAATCTTGCAAAATTCTTAAATGTTCCTGAACAGGTCGTCTCAGATGAGCAAGTAAAGTACACAGTGAAGTTCAATAGCGACGACGGATCAGTTATTGGTAGTCTTCCTCTCGATAAAATCCGTCCTTCCTTCGCTGCTGAATATTCTTGGCAAATTGGCCGGCCAAACTTGGGAATCATGTTTGCAGAACTCGAAACAGATTATTCCAAGAAAGCCATACTACTTGCCAAAATGGACCAATGGGACAAAGCGATCAACGCCGCTGCAGACACTTGTGATTCATCATCTCTTCTTTCTGTTCTTTCTCTCTCCTTAGAAAAAGGAAATGAAGAGATTGTGAATACAGCGATAGCTAACTGCGAGCCAGCAGTACGCGTACTCATGAGATTACCAAGAATGACAACTCCTGTTCGTCTTGGAGTCATATTAGACAAGATTCCTCCAACAATTCCTGCAATGGACGCTGTAAGAACTTATAAAACTGTCCAAAGTCAGTTCACTTCTGGCCTTGAATGCGCGAACACTCTGAAGAAGCTCAAGGACATGCAGAACGAATTGGCTGCAAGAAGCGGCGACCAATCTATTGTTGGGAAATCCCTTAATGAAACATTAAGATCATTCTTCAAAAAAGGTGACGAAGATGGTGCTTATCAGTTCGGAAAAAAGCTCGGCATGGATGAGAAAAGAGTCGATGCACTGCTATTCGCGTACTACGTGAAGACAAAAGACATGTACGCCCTCAAAAGATTCGGAATGAAGAAGAGCAGAAAGGAAATGTGGCCTCAAATCACAATGATCCTCAAAAGAGAGAATACTAACTTGGCAAGAGAATTTATTGATAGTATAGCTTCTATTGATCCGAAAATGAAGATGTCTATGCAGCAAGATTTCGAAAATGGAAAATTTGCTCCAAGAGACATCGAATCAATGAAACCACTTTCATGTATTTTTAATTCATAATTTATTATGAGTTATATATATGCTTAGATTTTTAACTATTATTGTTTTATATTTTTATTTAAAAAAAAGTAATTTATTCATTGTTTGATTCAAAATTTTTAGTAATAAGATGAAAGAAAATTCTTTATCTCAACTCCTTTTGCGTTCCGTGATGATTTGGCTAAATTTCTATTATTCTCAGAGCAAAATGTTAATTCCTTATATATGAACGTTTTGTATTTTTATAGTTCTTTATAGATCCTATGAGAAGTGATCCCATAACTCGGTTATATTAGAAAAAAGATGTTGTATAAAATGAAAAAATTCAATATAAAAAGTGACGGGTATTGTTATCCATAAAAGATTTGTAAAGAAAAATATCTGAATGAAATGATTTTTATTGCAAATTAGCCTTGAAAGATTATTTTGTAAAGTTGTATTAAGGTTTATTTTTAAGTGGAAAATTAATCAATTAGGATATCCCATAATATCATTTTAACATATTTATAATCAAATCTTACTAATTTAAAATTAATCCAAAAATACGATTAAATTGTTTCATTTTCACCGTAAAAAATTTTCGAAAATTTTGTGAGAAATGGGACGGCTTCACTCATTTTTTCTTGTAGATGTCGCTAAGTAATCACGTTAAGTCAACAATCGAGACCGGACAAGATACTATTGACTGGGGCCGCGCATTTGAAATTATAGAAAGATTAAATAAGTCACACAAAGATGATAAAGTTATTTTCGATACAATCAATCAAGTTTGCAGGAACGGCAACAGAAAGACGAGATTAAATGCACTTTCTCTTGTTGATGGTTTCTTCAAGAATTGCAACAAGGATGTTATCAAGAGACTTGTTCAAAATCCAATTGTTCTCGGACTCGCCGATGAGTTTTATACACGCGATCCAGCTTTCCACCGCGCTATCTGTGGTGTGTCCGCTAACTGGATGACAATTGCCAACAAGAATCAGTGTCTTACTCAACAATTTATTGATTGGCAGAGAAATGTTTGCTCTTACCACTACAAATATGTTATGACTGAGGCTATTGTTAACAAGTTTACTACCGAACTCTCCGGATGCCTTGAACTCCTTATTATGTTCAATAATGCTATGCAAACAGCTATGAACAACCATGCAACAGCTGACGATCCCCTCCTTAACGAAATTCTTCCAAATATCCACGAAATCCATACCAGAATTAAAGAATTAAAGCCAACAATCAGCAATAAGTACCTTCTCGATGTTATCGCCTACATTGAACAGTACTGCGTTGCTTGCAAGGAAGCTTTCAGTGATTTCGCCCAAGTTGGTACATGCGATCTTGAAGGATTGAAGAAATTAGCCGCAAAGGGCATTCCACGCCAAAATGGTGCTCCAGCTCCAGCTCCAACCCCAGCTCCTGCACCAGCACCAGCTCCAGCACCTGCTCCGGCTCCAGATTTAATTGATTTTGGATATCCTTCACCAGCACCAGCTCCCGCACCTGCTGCAGCACCATCGCCAGCATATCCATTAGGATTCGATGCCCCGGCTCCAGCACCAGCTCCAGCTCCGACATATAACCCAGCTCCATCTTATCCACCAGCATCAGACCCAATTCCACCAATATACAACCCGCAGCCAACCCCACAACCAGCTTACCAGCCTCCATTAGCCCAGCCAATTCCACCAGCAACACCAGTACCAAGCTACGACTGGAAACCAGCACAGCCAGAGCCACAGCCATCGGCATTCGCTCCACCGCCACAGCAGAGCTACCAGCCACCAATGCAGCAGGGCTACGGAGTTCCACCTGCTCAAGCTCCGGCAGCAGGAGGAGATGAGGCTGTTTCAAACGACGAATTCATGGATTTCTTACAAAACATCGCTACAAAACGCATGTAACTTTTTAAGTATTCCTCTAAACGATTGTTCATTTTTTCAATTTGCAATGATTTTTCAAAAATATTTTTATTTTTTACAAACAGATGTAATAAAGCAAAATTATATAATCATAATTAAAAAAAGGTGAAATTTCAAGGATTTTTGACAAAAATTTTCGATTTCATAAATAATAGGATTTTCATTTTCTTTTACACTTTAATTATTTAATTATCTTGGCGTGGGCAAATAAAAATTAATTTATTTCTTAAGATGTGTAATATCTAATTTGCAAAACATTTATGGCTTTGGAATCACAATTTCAACACTTATTTATAAAAAATACCCTTTTCTATAACATTTTGAAATTATTTCATGTCGCAAAAAGAAAAATATGCCATATTTACGTACGGAAAAGAACTAATTTCTATTTTAATCCGTGATTTATGATTTAAATATAATAGAATTGCATTTTCATTATCTTTGCCAGATCAAAGTTTAATTTTAAGATCAATATTTTGTTGATTATAATAGTAATCATTTATGTGTATATAAATTTTGGAGTTTCACACAACACCATAAATGTCATAATTAAAATTTCTTTGGAAATTTGAAAATTTTAAAATTTATTAATGAACAATGTACTGATTTTTTTTCAGCTTTATAGCTAATTCAATAGTTCATTTGAATTGAAAGAATTTGAATTGTTTACAAATAAATATGTGAATTTTTATTTGGCTTTCTATAATTCTTGAACATCAATATGACGGCTAACAATAATAACATTAAAAAATTATTTTATGCTTTATTATTGTCAAATCAAAAAATTATTTAATAACAACGTTTAATTCAATTCAATTTTTATATCGAATTCCTTTCAAATTTTTATTAACATAATTTTTTAGAATCATATGCTTGCATATCTTTTTTCACTCTCACGCTCTGAAATACAACAAGATACTGTAATTGATAGCATATGGGACCCAGGCTATCATGGTTATGCAAACTTTAAAATTGTTCAACCAAATGGCGATTCAATTCCATTAACATCTGGAAGTGGCCAACTACTAAGATTGACGATTGACGGAAAGTATTATTACCCAAAAAATTATGAAGATCGAATCGAAGAAAAAAATGTCAATATTAAATTAATTTTAGAAAAAATCGCTGAATACGATTATTATATCAAATATCAGATTACTAACATGAATAGTAAACCTATTAATGTAGCTCTAGGATCTTTTATTGATTGGCAGTTCAAAACCGGATTTGATTCTGATTCGACAGTTGGACCATTAAACGTTGAAAAAGGATACTACATTCAAAGTAAGGGAAATCCAACTTTCCAGAAACTTATCATTGACCATTCTGACAATCAAGATAATAAATTTGTAAGAGCTGACAAATATTGGTATGGCAACTATGCTGATATTGGAGATGATAAGGAAAGGAGATTCACAATGGAAGTTCAAGGAAAACCAGTATTTCCATATTCTGATGATCGGAGAAATACTGAATATGCTTTTTCAGCTTCTTGGACTGAAAGAACTATCGCTGAGAATGGATACATTACATTTGGATATCGCATCTATTCAAATTTCGAAAACGAATTTGAATTATTAATTCCAAATAAAGTTGCAACAGGTCAAGTTACTGGTGATGTTAAACTGCAATGCTATGTCAGACCAATTGAAAAGAACATTATTTATAGAGAAGTTATTGATTACGGAGACGGTCAATGGGTTGAAAAACAGGACAGAATTTTCTCATATAATGACCAAAAAACTCTAAAAACAATGGAAAGCTGGAGAATACCATTCCAACCGAAGTCAGAACCAGGAGAATATACATACAGAGTTGCCATTAAGTATACAAAAGATGGAACTGAACATATTTCTAATATAGAAACAGTTAAAGTTACTAGGTCTGCCCCACCAACTCTTTCAGTTGACCCATTTGATACAGATTCTACGTACAAACATAAACCAGTCATCAATGATATTAACCTTTCAACAAATCTCGTCTTAAAGATTCAAGGCCAACAGAATAAAATTAGAATCTTTGGACATTTCACTGATGAAGATAATGATAAAGATCTCAAGTTTACTGTTAAGGAAGGAAACTATAAAGCAGAAGTTATACTTGATGCTGCTTATCACAACAATAAACCTGGTGAACTTCAAGAATTCGGATTCAATTATATACTTAAAACCGACAAAGGAATGAATATTCCTCTTGAAATTTGGATGGATTCTGATACCGATGGATTCTTTGACGAAAATGATTCAACAGATTCCAACAGAAAGTTACTTTATGTCAATATAACTGAGGGTCCTAGAACTTTCAAACCAAACTTTGAAATTAACCCTCTTCCAGAAAAAGATGCAATTTATGAACCAGGAGGAAGAATTCCAATTTCAGGTTCTTACAGTGCAGATGGCACTGCAAAAATCAAATTTGTAGACACGGAAACAAAGAAAGAATTAACATCAACTATTGAATTCATTAATGCTACAAAAGAATTCAAGCAATTTGTAAATAAGTATATCACTTTACCATCTGATATTGCCCATAAGAAGATTACATTATCGGCAAAGATTTATGGACGATATGATATTCCTAGCGAATATGAACATACAATTCAATTCTTGGTTCGTACAAAGCCAAAGATTGTTAAAGTTAACTTTGAAAATGATAACGACAGAGTTATTAGCAATACTGGCTATTGGAGCAAATCTATAACAATTGAGGATCATGATCCAGGAAAAACACTTTATCTTTATGGTCAATTTGGAGATGATACCGTTTCTAGTCTCGGTTCTGTTACAATTGGAAATGATATTAAAAAAATAGCAAACTTTTATGAATTGTTTGAAAGAACTCATACCGGAAAACAGTACCTCAAAATTTGGGCGACAGAAAAGTCTTATGATGGGACAAATATAAACTTCTACAATGAATTGCATCCATTGCTGAAATCTGATATCCTTCAAGAACAAGTTATTGTCACATACATTCCAGATATAACATGCTCATTCCCAGACGATTATTACCAAAACCGAAATCATACAATCCAATATCAAATCGAGTGTAATGACGATGGAAAGATAATAATTGTTTATGAGTTCAACAACGTAGAATTTAACAGAGAAACAATTTATATTGGAGGAAAGAAGACTCTTGATAGATCATTCTCTGTTCCAAGCGATTTAGTATATGGTCAATATTACTCTTTATACATTCATGCATTAGATGAATACGGATTTTCAAATAGCCGTGGAAATGAAGTTTATCAAAATACATACAGTTTCTCTATAAAGGATTCACCAATAATAACAGAAGTTACGCTTCAAAGAGATTATGCTCTCCAAACTGAGAATTTCCAAGTCAAGGGCAAATTCAATGATCTAGACAACAGAAAGAATCTTTATCTCTTTGTGCAGCTTGGTAATAACGAAGTTACAGAGCACCAACAAAAGATACCATCAAACGGCGAAAATAATCAAGAGTTTGAAGCATTCATTCCAATTCCAGAAACTGAATTGCCGGGCAAGAAAGAAATTAAAGTTTGGCTCTCAACTTCAAGAAAGACTTATGAATATACTACACAAACAATCGATACATCAAATCTCTACAGTGTTCCTGTAAAGATTTCCTACAAGCCATCAATGAAAATCGAACTATTGAGGAAAGTTATCTATAAAGATGGTGATAAAGTATATCTTACAGGTACAGCTCGCGCTAACTCCAATCTTAACCTCAATTACTACATTGATCAAACTAATCTCAATCAGTCATCTGTTATTAAGATTACTGAAATTCCACAGGAATTCACAACAGAGTTTGTTATCCCACCATTCTTCAAATACGGTAACTATACAGTTACAGTAATTGGCACAGATGATCTTGAACAGACAACAATACCATTCCAGTTTAAGTTCGAAATCCGTAATCCACCAAGAATCCTTAATGCAACTGCTGCCAATGCAGAAGTTAACCAAGGTGAAGTTTTGAACGTTACAGGCTATGTCCATGATCCAGATATTGGCAACGTCATTGATATCATTGCTAAAGTTGATACAGGAAATGAAGCCGTTTACCAATCAATTAACTCAACAGCACAGAGTATGGAGTTCTCAATCAATATTGTCTTACCATCTGGCATTGAAGCTGGACCACACAAGATTTACTTGACAGCTGTAGATCAAGATGGAGAAAAGTCTCAACCATTCCCATTAGATTTCAGTGTCCTTGCCCTAGCCCCAGAGGAAGAAACAAAGAACACAACTGATGCTAACGCTGGTGGTGGCTCTGCTAACCAAAAGAACAATTCATCAGTAATGAAGGGTCTCTACATTGGTGTAGGCTTCGTCGCTGCTTTGCTCGTTATTCTTATTGTTATTATTGTTGTCATTTTCCACAAGAAGAAGAATGCTCCACCAGTTCCTGATCAGGAAGACAACAAGGATTCTGATTTAGAAGAAATAGAAACACAGGTTATGTCTACACAGTCCACAATTAACCCAGAGGAAATTGCAACAAAGGATAATCCTCTCTTCAGCTCAAGAGAAATCACACATGATGAAGATCCATTCGAAGATGAATTCGAAGAGCAAACTAATACTCCTTAATTAATATATTAAGGATAGAATAAGAAATTTAAATTTAAACAATTTTATTTTTAATAATTATGATTTCATTTTTATATCTGCTGCTGATTTTTTTCAAACATATAATCGAATCCAAGACTTTATTAAGAAGAATGAGATTTGAGAAATTTTGTTATAAATCGAGGATTACACCAAGAATACTAATTAAATTGGAATGCTATGGTTGTTTTAATAATTTTGATCATTTGATTTTCTAATTTTTTATAAGTAGTCAGCAAAAAGTGGGCGGCCACATAAGCTCTCAAAAAATTGAAAGCGAAATGCTTGAAAAAATCTAATTCATTTTAAATAATGTCTGCTATTGGTATTGATCTTGGTACTACATACTCATGTGTAGGTGTATTCCGTCACAATCGTGTAGATATTCTTGCCAATGATATGGGTAACAGAACAACTCCATCATACGTTGCATTCACAGATGATGAAAGACTTGTAGGTGATGCTGCTAAGAACCAAGCTGCTATGAACCCACAAAATACAGTTTTCGATGCTAAGCGTATGATTGGCCGTAAATTCTCAGATCCAGTTGTTCAGAAAGATATGAAGCACTGGCCATTCAAAGTTGTTCGCGGCGAAGGCGATCGTCCAAAGATTGAAGTACAATTCAAGGGCGAAACAAAGCAGTTCTTTCCAGAAGAAATCTCAGCAATGGTCCTCGGCAAGATGAAAGAAACAGCTGAGAACATGCTTTCAGAAAAGATTACAGATGCTGTTGTTACAGTTCCAGCTTACTTCAACGATGGCCAACGTCAGGCTACAAAGGATGCTGGTGTCATCGCTGGCCTCAATGTCCTCCGTATCATCAACGAGCCAACAGCCGCTGCTATCGCTTTCGGTCTCAACGAGAAGTCCGACAAGGAACGCCACGTTCTCATCTTCGATCTCGGTGGTGGCACATTCGATGTTTCCCTTCTTGATATCGATGGTGGAATGTTCGAAGTTCGTGCTACAGCTGGTGATACACACCTTGGCGGTGAAGACTTCGATTCACGCCTTGTCGATTACTTCGCAGATCGTTTCCAGAAGAAGTTCAAGTGCGATCTCCGCGAATCACCACGTGCTTTGAGAACACTCAGAACAGCTTGCGAGCGTGCTAAGCGTACAATCTCTACAGCTGCTAACGCATCCATCCTTTGCGAGTCTCTCTACCAGGGCCACGATTTCCAGGATACAATTTCTCGTGCTATGTTCGAGAACTTGAACGATGAACTCTTCAGATCCACACTTGGCCCAGTTGCCCAGGTTCTCAAGGATGCAAAGATGTCAAAGTCCGATGTCACAGATATCGTTCTTGTCGGTGGCTCATCACGTATTCCACGTGTCCAGCAGCTCCTCCAGGAGTTCTTCAACGGCAAGCAGCCATGCCGTGGTGTCGACCCAGATGAGGCCGTCGCTTACGGTGCTGCAGTCCAGGCCGCCATCATCAAGGGCGATAACTCCGAGGCAGTCAAGGATATCTTACTTCTCGATGTCGCTCCACTTTCCCTTGGTATTGAGACAGCTGGCGAAATCATGACAGTTTTGATCCCACGTAACACAACAATTCCAGCCAAGAAGTCAAACATCTTCACAACATTCGCTGATAACCAGCCAGCAGTTACAATCAAGGTCTACGAAGGTGAGCGTACAAGAACACGCGACAACAACCTTCTCGGTACATTCGATCTCACAGGCATTCCACCAGCACCACGTGGTGTTCCACAGATCGAAGTTACATTCGATGTCAACGCTGATGGTATCATGAACGTTTCTGCTCAGGATAAGTCCACAGGTAACGTCAAGAAGATCACAATCAAGAACGACAAGGGCCGTCTTTCTCAGGCAGATATCGACCGCATGGTTTCTGATGCTGAGAAGTACAAGGCTCAGGATGAAGAAGCCAAGAAGAAGATCGAAGCTAAGAACGGTCTCGAAGGCTACTGCTTCGGTGTTCGTAACTCTGTCAACGGCGAACTCGGCTCAAAGATTGCTCAGGCTGATAAGGATGCCATCCTCAAGATTGTCAATGACACACTCGCTTGGATCGAATCCAACCAGGACGCTTCAACAACTGACTACGAAGCAAAGCAGAAGGAAGTCGAAGGCCAGTTGATGCCACTCATGCAGAAGGCCTACCAGTCTGCTGCTGGTGGTGCCGGCGGAGTGCCAGGTGGTGTTGACCCATCTATGTTCCAGAACATGGGTGGCGCTGGTGGTGCTACTCCAGGTGCAGGCGCTGCTCATCCATCCTCTGGCTCTGGCCCACGTGTTGAAGAAGTTGATTAAGACTAATATTTAATGTGTAATAAATTTCTTTCTTTTTATTTTAAATTTTTATATTTTTTTAAGGATATTGTCCTGCAAAATGCTTTGAAAGGTCCGGATTCTAGTTGTTCTCATTCAGCAATATCATCCCATGTTGAATCTCTCGCTTTAATCAAATGAATAACTACATCATATATGTCTTTATTTTTAGTTGCCATTGTTCTAACATGTACCATAACCCTGGTTAAAAAAAGCACGTAATGTTACATAAACAGAGTGCACTTTTGATAGAATTCTAATCTATGAGTATTATTAATCATTATTATTAAACCCATGATTGCTTTGCTTAATGTACTTTTTACATTTAAAGTATCAAACTTATTTGATACGGAAATGATATTTGATGTTCAATTTGCATGCCTTTAAATATCAAGACACTAAAATCATATAACACATCCAGTTAAATTTTCGTGTGAAATGCATTAGATTAATGAAAAATCATATTTTTATTGCAATGCCAATTCATATTGAAACTTCCAATCATTCTAGATGATTCATATGAGGTGCTGTATCAGCAGAAATGAACAGAAATCTGGCTATGGAGTTAAGCAATGTATACCTTTTAGATCAAAATTTCTCTAATTTTTTTTTATTCTTATTTTCTCAATGAGATATCTTCCTCATGTTAGCAAATTACAGTTATTCTTTGGACAATTACTGAAATATGATTCATCCAAAACTTTATTTTTGGCGGTTTTGTAAAGTTCATTCCGAACCGATGACAATGATGAACACCACGAAATTCGTCCCTTTCCCGGACGCATTTAATATAGATTTCGTCCTTGAGGGAACAAAAATCGCTGCGGAAACTCTCGACCTCTATGAAAAGCCAACTGATAAACTTGGCACAAACTGCATCGAATATCCTATCACACAAAAGGTTATCATCCTTGGTATCGTTAAGAGAACAATCCACTTAGATTTCTACAGGAAGCGTCTCAGCATCCGTGGCAATTTTGAAGGCTCTGTCTTTGAAATCCGCGGCAATTTAATTAAGAACTTCGAAATTGATGAGAAGGATAAATTCTTAGTCCGTATTTCATTTACTACAAGTCAGTCTCCACAAGAGTTCTGGATGGAAACTGCCGAAAATATTAAGAGCCTCTTCGACGCACTCACCGAGTTCGTTGATTGCTGCTCTCGTAAGAAATAAATTAGTTGACGTAATTTGTTAAAACTACGTTCTATTATATATAATTTTTTTTTAATTAACTAAACAAATCGAAATTAATAAAAATGCCCTCAAAAACCCATTGCATATGAATCAAATACGGTTAATAGACCGTATTCATTATTCAAATATTCAATTTTCCATTTTAATTGAACGAAATGCATGCATCAAATGGCAGAAAACCCATTAGGTATGCATTAAATACTGTTAGCCAATAGTATTCTTTATTCATTTTTAAATTTGTGAATTCTCAAACATCAGAAATTTAAACATATCACTGGAATTGATGATATACTGTAGTTGTGCATTATATTATAGTAATATAACTCCTTACATTCTGTGTGCAAATCAAATCATATGAGGGACTAATAGTTCAATCAGTTCTTGAATGTCACTTTTTAATCATCATTTTTAGATTGATTGTAAGAATGAATTGAATTACTCGAATAATTCGTATGTGTTGCATAATAACATTAGGAAGAAATTTGGATATGAGTACTTTAATGGTGATAGTGGGAAACTTTGGCTAAAAGTATTTCATCATAAAACAAAGTTTTGCTATTTTGACATTAAAGGAGAAGCAAATTACTCTTTAAATAAGAATTACTATTCTATTCTTCGCGAAGTTAACGACAAGTTTTTAATCTCTAAAAATTCACAAAAATATTATTCATTTCTACTAGAATATCCACAAATTCCAGAATACATCGAATTCACTCAAAATGAGTTATTCACCACGACAAATCCTAAACTGAATGGATTCAAAATTATTTCCAACAATAGTTATTTTGAATTATTTGGTGGATTGCACACAATAACTTCTGAATATAATTTTACATCACTCATTGTTGGAGATGATAATGGAATAAATTGGAATTATCCAATTGGAACAATTAGTCAGCAGTACTTCCCATATTTTCCTACTCCTCTTAAAAATATCCAAGTTGCTGATCTTTGGATTGAGATACCCAATTTAAGTTTGATTCCGACATTTAATTATCTTGATGAGCAATGCATTGTGTCAAATATATGCAATACGCTTTATCTTAAATGGATTTATATTACGTTTTCTTTGTTTCAAGGGTAAAGCCTGAATGATAATGTAAACTTCAGAATTTAAAACCTTATTTAGAAATGAACTTAATTTCTCTTTAGTCCAATATGTGGGGTTTTAAAGCCCAATTGCATTCATTCTCAATTTTGAGAGAACCCTCAATTTATGGGAATGATCTTTTTTATTTCCGAATTTAAAAATGTATATAGGAATTTACCTATAGTAATATATACCAATATGAAGTTATGTATATAATACGAAGTTATGTACATGATATGAACAAATCTATCTATGTAAAATAGGATTTTTAAAAAATTAATTTTTAATTTCATTCTTCAAAAAGAAAGAAAAACAAGAGGATGATGGGTAGATAATGGTTATCTCATATAAAATGTTTTGTTTTTTTAATTAAATAATAAAATTTTATTATTTTTATTCTCGATTTTACATATTAAGAATAAACTTTTATTGATAAATAGGATTACTTATAACGACCATCTGGGTATTTCTCTAATTTCTGGCAAGCAATCTCGAGCTTCTTCTTGAGTTCTTCGACCTGTTTCTGATCGAACAAACGCGGCTGGGAGTATTTATTAACTAATCTGCTGTTCTCCATTCTTGACTCGATCTTTAAGATTGTTGCTCCGGTCTGATTCAATTTAATAACAAGGCGCTTGAAATCAAGACCTGTAAGACCAACTTCTGTCTCTGCATCTGCAAGATCAACGTATTCCTTATCCTGGACAAGCTTAATAATGGTAAGCATACGAATATTAATATACATCTGTTGTAAGTTAAGGCTATTGTCATCAATGAAGTCTGGATATCTGGATAAGAACTCTTCGAACTCAATAACGCCTAAATTAACGAAAACTTCTAATACTTCCTTGAATTCTTGTGGAAGAGAAGCGTAAAGACGATCTGTTTCTTTAAGAATTTCGAAATCGAAAAGATCAGTTCCGTTTAATGCGGAGATAACTGCTGTCTTTGCGATATGTGAAAGTTGTGTGACATCTTTAACGAGTTCCTTGACTTTTGGAATGTTAAAGATGGTGCAAAGAACGCCAATAGATGTATGATCGTATGAAAGAACTCTATCGAAAAAGCTGATGATTGTTTCAACGAAAGTATCTCTGTTGTGCTTAATATCAACAGCGTCAACGATGTAACGCTTCATGATACTGATGATCCACTTAAGGAATGATGGATCGTCTGTAAGCTTAAACTCGAACGACATTTGAATTAAAAGACGAAGAGCGTATGTTTGAGCAACTGGATGTGAGTTGAGAGATGCAAGAACGTATGAAACACACATGGCTGGAAGTTTTGGATTAATATTTTCTTTGAGTTCTTGTAATTGTCCAATAATATCTTGAACTAAAGAAGACATTTCAGCTTCTTTTACATTAACAGCACTGTAAAGTGAATCAAGTGATTGCCATGAAGAGCAGAACCATTGGTAGAATTCATTTGCAGGGGCAGCTTTTGCAAATGGAACAATGTAAAAGAGAATGCCTTCTGTAACACTATTTTTTTCATTTTTAATTCCTGTTTTTTCGGCAGCTGTCTTTAAGCACGCTTCAACTTGTTTAACACCGTCGTTGGACATGATTTCTATTTTTGGAGCTATTGGTCGTCAAACCGCAAAATTTCAGTCTTCTGGTTTTTAGTTTTAACCATGAATATTGATCATATATCTTATGCAAAAAAACTATGTTTATGTCTCTAAGCAAAATTGAAATCATTCTTGAGTTACACCAAGGATTTTATTGCTCATATTTCTAATATATTCATAATATGGGTAGGACTATATATGCAAATGATTATTGCATGATTTATTGCAAATTGTGAATCGAAATTCTGAAAATAGTTCACCCCTGGCCTTGAAATGTTAATATTTTGTATTTTTATTTGAAGAAAATGATAATTATGCAACAACTTTATATGTTCTATTTTTCACACTTCATATTTTTCATTCCTCTTTATTTCAGACTTTATGGAATCACCTTCAACTGATATTCGAAAATTTGTTGTTAATGCAAGTGCTTACAACCAGAGACGTGATACTATTGGTCTGAAAAAGGAATTAGAGGCTTTAATACCTGAAAAAGAATATTGGACAATATTTAGAGCTTTTTTAAATGGTCACTGTGATAGAAGAATATATAATGATGTAATGGAAAGACATTTAACTACACCAAAAGCCAGAAAACTACATAATGATTTTATCAAAGCGATTTACTATAATGCGAACTTCACAATGCTGCCACCTCCAGGTTTTACAATACATAAAAGAGAAAAACTATATTCTATTCCTACAGATTCAGTGAAATTAGAACCTACGAAAAGTCGACATTTCTCATCATATAGAGCATCTGATCTTAGGTGCATCCCTTCAATTGATCAACTCAAAAAACGTTTGGAAAATGTCTGTTCGGATTTAACCATTCCAAATGAAACAATTCGAGTTATTAAGTTTGAATTAGCAAGATATATCACAAACATTCTTCGAGAATGCTTAACAGTAGTGGAAAAACCTGAATCAGCTCAGCGTTTACTCGTAATAGAACCAAAACATATAAAACTCGTACTTACAGAAAATCCTGCAATGATGCAAATGCTGTCTTATGATTTGTTATCGAGATTCAGCGAGTATCTTTAATTACTTTGTTTATTTCAAATTTCGAATTGATATATCTTCTTTTAGATATAGACTAATTCATTATCGTATATATTGTTTGATATAAATTTGTAAATTATTCATTAATACATGCTAATTTAAAGATTTTTTCAATAATTCTAGATATTTTTGTTGTAGATCTTATATTTCATTGCCTTATTGGGTTAGGCTGTATGTTAACTCATTTCTATCTAAAATTAGAACATAATGAGTAAAAGTATACGAGTTCTTGCTTCAGCCAATGCAATGAAAGGAAGTCTTTCAGCAAAAGAAGCGTCAAATATGATGGCATCTGGAGCACAAAAAGCAATCAGTAAGTTTTCGGAGCAATTCGGTCAAAAATTTAATGGTGAATTTTTAATCAAGCCTATAGCCGATGGTGGCGACGATACAGTCGATGTAATTGCTGATAGTTTCTACATTAATACTATTAAAGGCCCTCTATTAGACCCTGTTGAAGCAAGATGGGGTTCATTAGGTGATACAGCTGTAATTGAAATGGCTAAAGCCTCAGGCATTGCATTATTACCAGAAGACAAATTAGATCCATTTACTACAACTACATTTGGCACTGGTCAGTTGATTTTGGCTGCTATCGAAAAAGGATTCAAGAAGATTCTTCTTACAATAGGAGGATCCGCAACCGTTGATGGTGGAATTGGCGCCTTAGCTGCTATGGGCGCCCAGTTTTATGACAAAGAAGATAAGATTATCGAGCCTTATGGAAACTCTGCATTAGGAAAAGTAGCTAGAATAGATTTTTCAGCGTTTGAAAAGTTCAAAGATGTACAATTCAGCATTGCTTGTGATGTTGATAATATTTTATTAGGTGATAAAGGATCTGCTGCTATATTTGGACCACAAAAACTTCGCCCATCAATAAGAAACGATAGAGAAGCTAAAATGAAAGCAGTTTCTCAAATGAATGCAAACTTAGAGAATTTTGCAAATATTATTCAGAAAACAACAAATAAAGACATTAGAATGGTAAAGGGTATTGGGGCTGCTGGTGGCTTATCTATTGGATTCGTAGCTGTTTTTGATGCTCTTCTTCGTCCTGGATCAGAATTTATTTTAGACATGCTTGGAATAACAGATGAATTGCATCCTGATATAGTCATAACATCAGAAGGTAAATGCGATGTTAGTACTTTGAATAATAAGGCTCCTTATGCTTTAATTAGAAGATTTTCTAATTCTTATTCAATTGTCCTTACAGGAGCAATTGAAAGCGAGGAAGTAGAACAAAAACTAAATGACGCCGGAGCTTCTATTGTTATGACCATTGAAGATGGAGCAATTTCACTTTCTGATTCAATGAAACGCTGTGGTGAGCTTATGGAGAGGGCTTCCTATAGAGCTGTTTATTCTTATCTTAGAGCACACTTTAAATAAAATTTTAAAAATTTGTTTCATTTTTCTATGTATTTTTGCTTGAATAATCCAATATTTTACTTTGATTCTTGCATAGTTTAGCCCTAGATATCTTGTAATTTTCATGTCTGTCCAAACATCAAATCAGATTTAGACAATCCAGCTAAAATTTCCGCTTAATATAAATAATATATTGCATTTTCATGAATTATCCATAAATACTCATAAAAAATTTTTTTGAAAAAAAGTTGACGTTTATAAAATAGGGGAGATGGCTGAATTTCCGAATAATACTGGTCTCCACCTAAATATTAAAGGTAGTGATATTATTAGAAAAGGTACCACATCAACATTATCTGCTCGTCGCGATAAAAAAGCTTTATTTGATCCATCAACAATAGAAGAGAATGCTAACTCTTATAATATGGATCCATTAAAAGATGAGGAACCTCAAGCAATATTATCTGCTCGATCACCAAGTTTATTAGCAATTAAGAATAAAATAACGCAACGTGCAAAAACAACATGTACGACATCGCGCGGAGAACACAAGGAAGTTGAAATATATACACCTAGAAGAGCACCTTCTATGTTAACAAAGGAATCTCCTAGGCCGAAAACTACGTTACAAGATCGAACTTTAGCTTTCACAAGGAAAATTTCGAAAGACACTGAAACAGAAAAGATTGCACTCGAATTTGATGATGATCCAATTGCTTATTTCTCAAAAAGAAAAGATGGCAGAGGACATCGCTTTATTTACCTCAATTATGCCGATGATAAATCAGATCCTTACTTCAATCCTTACAAACTTGTCAAAGTTCCATTTGCAGAAATCAAATCTGAATATTTTACTATGTCAGCACAAGGAGTCACGCATTTACATCCAGATGGCACAACAGAATGTGTTCAAATTGATAAATGGGCAACTGAACAATCTGTTTACGAATCAGCAAAGCGTCTTAAATTCTTTGCTCAATATTTCTTTTGGAAACCATTTAAAAATTGGAAAAACTTTGTTAGACGTCAAAGATTTCTTGATACCAAAAACGTTATTGTCGAACATAAGTATTTCAGCTATCCTGGATTCTTTAATACAAAAATGAATATAATTAATTTATATATCGACGAAAAACTCAAATTAACTGTACCAGAACTTGTCGAAAAATACATATTTTCATTTAACCCACAACAAAGATACGAATTATCAGCTTTCACGCAAGCAACTGCGAAAAATATTCTTGCATTTGAATCTGCATACAACGAATACATAGAAAATGTCGAACATTTAATGCTTGTTCTTGATTCGAAGATAAGAGATCCAAAAGTAGTTCAAGTTAAGGATACGGACTTTCCAGAAATTAAATTAAGAAATCCAAACCTCAAAAAACTCAAATTACTCGAAGAAAGAAAGGCAAAACGCCGTTTAGAATTAACAAATATGGTTAATAGTCAAATTATCCAATTTGGTTATTTTATTCGTGATGTTGATAATATGTTGATTGAAACTTTAGCTACAGCAGCCAATGAATCATGGGAACATGCAAAGCAGAATGTTTTACAACCATTATCTTCTATATTTAACATAGAAGTTTCTTTTGGATCAAATGGCCAAGTTGTTTTGACGCCAAATCTTGAAGATCTTATTGCAGAAATCAAACATTCATTCTTACAAGCACGAACCTGTTTGGATGGTCTTCCTAGAATCATTGACAGACCATGTTTCAAACCTCATCTTCGCGAATCTCATCCAAACTTCCAACAATTAATGGATGAGAAGCCTTCATTAATCAAATACATGGATAGATATACATCAATCATTGATGCAGAAGATACAATTGTCAACGCTGTCTCTAATTCATATAAAGAATCTGTAAAAACATCCGTAGAATTTGAACAATTCTTCAATTTATTCCAACTTGGACAATCATGGACCATTGATAAATACATATCTTCTCGTAGCGGCAAACCTGCAGCATGGAAGCCAGGAGATGGAAAATCAAAAGATTGCAAAGCAGAAGATATCGATATTGATACTGAACCAATCATTGATATCAAATCTATCAGAGAACTTTTAGTTTCTTTGCAATCTAGTGAAAGAGCTCTTGCTGATTTCACTCCTCATACTTTAAAAGATATGATTTACATCGATTCAAAGCAACTCAGAAACTTTTTGAATCCAATTCCAAACACTTTGCAAAACAGAATTAAAGATTCATTGAATGAATTGTTATTAACTAAATCTGTTCGTGCAAAGATCGCTATCAACTATTACACAACACAGTTGAAGAACAAACCACAGAATTTGCCCCATTTCGTGAAATTCTGTGAAACACTGACAAAAACATCAGTTATTATTAAGAAACTCCAATTGGAAGCCGATTTCATTGACAATCTTATCATTCCTGTCAATGAATTAAACAAGATTTCCAATGCTACAGAGCTTGCACAGAATACAATTCCTCCTTTAATTTCTGCTTTTGCTGTAACAAATAAAGAAGCAAATGAAGCAAAAGCATCAATGTTAGAATTCTACATTGGAGAACTTAAGAAATTATGTGAAACAATTGATTTAAAGATTGCAAAGGCCAAAGAGAAAGTTGCAACAACGCCACGTAATCTTGCTGATGTAAGAGTTGAACAACAGAGAGAGAACGTTATGGCTATCAAAAAAGAAGTCAAATTACTCTTCCCTGATGTTAAAGAAGCTCTTCATTTCCAAGAAGTCCTTGGCAAAAATTATTCCGATTTCAAGACTCTCGATCAACTCGTAAATTACATCGATATGATCTTGAAGATGTACGATATCATTGGTGCATGGAAAGCAATGGAAAAGAATGTCTTCCATACTCCTTTCGAGCTCTTAAGAGCTGATGAATTCAAGAAAGACATTACAAAGATTAATGATGAAACAAAAGATATTTCTTCACAGATGACATTGATGCCAGGAATTTTGATAGAATTAGAACACGAAATATCAAAAGTCTATCCATATGTCGAAGAAATTATCTTATTGACTACATCTAATATGCAACCACGTCACTGGGAACAGTTATTCCAGACATCAGGTTCTTCAATTCCTTATAGAACTGATATACAATTGTATGAAATTGTTTTGTCAGGAATTCTCGCAAACCATAATCTCATTGAACAGATCACTAGCATTGCCTCGAATGAAAAGAATATCGAAGATACATTCAAGGCAATCGAAACTAAGTGGTCTCAGGTCTATCTGCCAACAGCTAACGGTCAAATGAAGGGAGAAGATGTTTTGATTATTGCAGATACATCAGAAATTGTGTCAGATCTTGAGAAAACAGTTAAAAAGCTTACAGAAATCAACAACTTGCAATTTGCTACAGGCGTCAGAGAGCAAGTTGTCAAGATGATTTCTACATTACAGAATGCTGCTTTAGTGCTTGAAGAATGGCAGAAGTTCCAAATGAATTGGATTTTGCTTTCTACTTTGTTAAACACAGAAGAAGGAAAAACAAATTTGGCACCTCAAGTTTCAAAGTTTGGACAAGTTAGAAGACGTTGGATTTCTATTGTTAAGCATTCCTACAAAGATCTTACATTATTAAATGTCTGTTCTTATCCTGCTTTGTTAGAATCAATGCGTGAAAACAAAGAAACATTGGAATCAATCATTGAAACACTTGGCAAATTCATTGATTCTAAGAGAGAATCATCTCCAAGATTGTTTGCACTTGGAAACAGCGATATTTTGTCATTGCTCACTTATTCAGGTGTTGAAACATTACAAAGATTTGTTCCTCGTTTGTTCATGAAAGTCAGAGCATTAGATGTAAGTGATGATCAAAACATTAGCCAATCAATGAGAAGAATCAAAGTTGCTGGTTTCATTGGCAATTCAGGTGATGTCTTTTCATTGGAGAAACCTGTTATTATTACAGGACCTCTTGAAAATTGGTTGAAACAGTTGATAGATGCATCTCATGAATCATTACTTAAAACGATCAAATCTATTTTGTTCAAATCAGCAACAATGCAAATTACTGATTGGATTTTGAATGTTCCTGTTTATGTAGCTTATATTGTTTTCTGTGTTGAATTTACTCGTGAAGTTGAAGAATGCTTCAATGCTTATGAATCTAATATTAGATCATTCTCAACTTATGAATCGAGATTGAAGAATAGATACAACTCTTTGATCACTTTGTTAGATACTCCTATTACTCCTAAAGAAGCTCACAAGATCTCAACAATATTAACAATAATAATGAACCATATTGATATCATTCATCAATTTACTGATGGTTTGCAATCGAAATGGATTTGGCAACAGATTCCTAAACTTAATTTCATTGAATCCCAAAACAAATGCACAATTTCTTATGAAGACAAAGTTGAATCATTTGGATTTGAGATTTGGGGAGATGTAAGACCATTCATTTTGACACCACAAAGCCAAAAGATGTCAATTTCTTTGATGCAATCGAACTTCCCAACAATTGTTGGTTCACCAGGAACAGGAAGAAGATCATTGATCAAGTACATGGCTTCACATTTCGGACGATACATTCATTCAATTCCTGCTTTACCATCAATGAATGGAGAAATCATTTCTCAAATCATTAAATGTGTTGCAACTTCCGGTTCATGGGTTATTTTCAATGACATTAACAAGATCAAGAAAGAAGCTTTGTCAAATCTTTCAGATTTATGTGGTTTGTTCCATGATGGACAACAAAATGGTCAAATGATTATCAATGATGAAACATTTAATTTCGTTCCAAGTTCCAAAGTTTTCTTCACATCTTCTGTTCCACTTTCAAAGTCAACCACTATTCCAGAGCAGCTTAAATCAATCTTGAAATCAATTGCTTTATCAACACCAGAGAAGAGAATTTTGATTGAAATGCAATTGGCTGCAAACGGATTCAAATCTTCCAAGCAACTTTCAATCAAGATCAATTCAACAGTTACATCAATTGTTGATACATTTGGATGGGTTCTCAGATCGAACACCATGCTTAATCACATTTTCTGCATCATAAACAGGATGAAGAAATATATCAGAGATTCTAAATTCCCACAGTCCAAATGCCCATATACACAAGCAAATGAAATTGAAGAATTCATTGCTTCGAGAGCTATTTATCATCATTTTGTTTCATTGATTGATGAATATCAAATTGATTCATTAGTTCAAACAATTTTCATCACATTCCCATTGAGTGAAAACACAGAAACAATGAAGTCTCGTCTTGAATCGAATTATTACTTCGATTCTGATTCAATCATTGATTTAATTGCAACACAATTAACATCAATGACAAGCAATTTGTCCAATGGAAAGTATCTTACAAATCAAGCTCTTAATTTGTTCGCACAATTACAATCAAGAAGAATTATTATCATCCATGGCGAACCAGGTTCAGGAAAGACAAATGTTTTGAACTTGTTGAAAGAAGCAATTGACCAAACAATTTCGATTTATGCTGATAAACCAAAGCCTCCAAAGATCACTCCTTTGCATATCACTCGTTTATTCCATCATTCGAAAGATATGAAAGGAATCTTTGGCGATTGGCAACATAGAGATGCCGAAAATGTTACTGTTTGGAATATTGGACAAGCTGATGTTCTTCTTGAAAGTATGATGTCTATTGAGAAGAAACTTCACAAGATTTTAGTTTTCGATGGACCATTGAACTTAGATGCATTGGAGTTTTTAGTTGGAATTGCTGCTGATGAACAATCAGTTGTTAATTCAATGAATGTTGTTGATTTCAAGATGAAAGGAAAACTTACTTTGGTTATCGAGACTGATACAGTTAAGAATTTAATTCCTTCTCAAAGTGGAATGTGTGGATTCCTTCATATGCGTGGTGTACAAGATAACTGGCTTGAAACATCTGAAATCAGAGACTGCCCAGCAATTATTTCTCGTGTTTTCCCAGCAAATCTTTCTCCAAGTATTTTCTCAATTTTCGAAGAAATTTTGCCTCCAACTGTCAAATACATTTATCACACTCCAAACATATTATGCAACTATGAAGAATACAGAAAGATATCAGGTGCAAACTCTGTTCTTTCCGACTTCCTTACTACAACAGCTGTTAAGTTATTTGATGCTTTGATTCAAACAGGAGGAGTAACAATTGATGATGACGAAAACATCAGAAAAGGAGCTGTTGCAGCAACATTCCATGCTTTCCAAGGAATTCTTGATGAAAATCAAGCAACACAATTCGATCTTTGGTTAAGATCATCATTCAAAATCACAGGAATTCCCGAGTTTAACAATGATGAATCAATCCCACATTGTTTCTCCATTTCTTTCCCTAATGCATCATTAATGACTCATGTTTTAACGAATAATGAATTTAATTTGATCAAATTAGATGCAATGAATGAAATGGTATTAGAAAGAGAAGATTTAATCCCAACAACAATGAGAGAATTATCTGTTGCAACACCAGAAATAATTGTTTCAAGTTACACATTGGAATTGGCTTTGAAGAGAAAGATTCCAACAATTATTTTAGGAGGAAGTGGAAAGGACACATTCGTTAACCACTTCTTTAAGAACAGAAAAGAATATTTGGCATTGCATATCTATGTTTCTCCTCAATACTCTATTGACTCCATTGTCGGTTTGATTGATTTATGCACAGATTTGACTAAGAAATTCTCTGATTCACAACAAGGATTTATTTTGGTATTCCATAATGTTGAAAAGGCTTGTGAACAAGTTTTAGAGTTCATCAGAATGATTGTTGCAACCAAGACTTTGCTTACGAACTCCCAATCATATATCAAAGGTTTCGAGAACATCAAACTTAGAAGATTTAATGTTGTTTGCACTACTTCTTCTTACAGTGATCTCTCAGCTCGTTTCATCTCTCGTTTCTTACCAATAAGACTCAACACAATGTCTACAGCATCAGTCAGATTTGTTGCTGAAAGATTACTCAAAGCAATGTCCGTTGAAAGCAAGTTATCAGAAGGAATTGCTGATGTTTTGGAACAGACAATGATGCAATTGTCAGATTTTCCAAGAAACATATCAAACATCATTTATTTCATCGATGGAATTGGCCAGATGAAAGAGAAATATGCAAAAGATGAAAAGATGATGATTGATGCACTGAGAATGTTTATTGCTGATATCAGAACATTCTTCTTTAATGAATACATCAGTCAATGGGATATTTTCACTCAAATATTCTTGACTAATTTCAAGGCATCACAATTGATAGAAGAATTCAAGGATGAGAAACAAATATTCATTCCAAACATCCAAAAACCAAAGGGAGAGAATCCATATATCAATGGAACATTCGAAACTTACGCAAATATCACAGAAGAACTTAATCTTTATCTCCAAGTTTACAACAAATCTCCTGTTGAAAAACTCGATATTCGCTTATATACAGCATTGCTTAAATGTTGGTCATCATTTAGAAGAACTCTTCAGTTCCCTATTTCTTCAATTATCCTCAGAGGAAAAGAAGGAAGTGGAAGATTATCTTTGTCAAGATTCCTTGCGAATATGTTACAGTATGATTTCGTTAATATTGCAGATGATCCGTTCAATCCAATCACAATTCCTTATCTTTCTGCTTTATTAACTGATATCTGCATGAATTGCACATTGATGGAAAAGAAATGTGTTTTGTTCATCAGACACAAAGGAGATAAAATCTCTCAAGAATTGCAATTCATCATCAACTTCATGCAAGGTTTCTCTTTCTCGATGATTCTCAGCAAGCAACAACAAGAAGACATCTACATGAAATTCACAGGAAGAACATTAACTAAGCCTGAACAATATGTACAAGCATACAACAAACTTAGGCAAGTTCTTTCTGAAAGCCTCCACATTATCATTGCTGTTAATGATGGTGCTTGCAGTTTACCACTTAATTTACCAATAATTGACTTCAATTGCACAGGACACAGTGATTACGAAGAAATTGCTAAGACAGCTGTTACAAATGAACAGATGATGAATGTCTTTGGTGTCCACTCAAGAACATTGCCACGTATATTGACAACTTTGCATGAACAAGCATCAGAAATCATCAATTACAATCATAAGAACAAATTCTTTGATTTCATTGATACATTTTGCAAACAAGCAAATCAAGATTATATCAATTTGGTTGATAGATCTCGTAATCTTCTTGCAACAATCAATTTCTATAATGATCTCAAAGATGAATCAGTTCAAACTCTCAAAGATTACGAAAGAGTTAGTCCTGGTTTGCAAAGAGTTGCTGATGATGTCGATGCTTTGACAATAAGTTTCAACTCTAAGATGCAAAACATTGTTCAAAGAAGAAAAGAAATAGAAAAAGAAGAAGGAGATATGTTGAGAGAAATTCATTCATTGGAAACATCATTGAACAGATTAAACGCAGATCAAAACGAATTGTTACCGAAACTTAATGGTTACAGGGATGCAGTTAAAAACTTGACTGATAATGATATCAAGACTCTTCGTTTGAACTTGATTGAACCTCAAACAGAACTTAAATTGTTGTTAGAAGTTTTGTGCGCGTTCATGGAATTGCCAATTTCATTTGAACCTCATGGAAGAGATCTTCTTAATGATTCCAGATTCGTGTCAAATATTATCAGTAGAATTGACCACAATAACGTTGATAAAGCAATTAAAGATGCAGTGGAGCCATACTTCCAACGCCCTGATTTCAGTGAAAAAGTCATGGATAATGCTGCTCCTTCAATGAAGACAATTTATTTGTGGTTGAAAGCTGTCATTGAATATTCAAATAACCTTGAAGAAATAACTAATTTGAAAGTTAAGTTGTCTAACAATCAAATGGAGTTTGATGAAAAGAAGAAATCTCATGCAGAAGAGAATGATAGAATGTCATCAATGGAGAAGCAGTTAGAAGAAGAGAAGATGGCACTAAGATCATCTCTTCAATCCAAAGAACAAATGGAAATCAAATTCGAAAACATCAAAAATCGTCAAGAAGCAATCAATGCAATTCTCTCTGATATGGATGAATTCCTCATGAAATGGGCACAAGAAAGCAATGAAATCACCACACAAAGAGAGTTGATCATTGGTACTGCTTTGTTGATGTCTTATTATGTTAACTATGGTTCAATGGTTTCTGATGAAACAAGAAGAAAATTAATTGATGTTGTTGTTAAAGAAATCAGAGATTCTGGATTGGTTCTTCCGAATGAAACTCCAATGACAACAATCAATGATAAATTGTTGTTCGATAGTACAAATGAAGAAGATATCTTCAATCCAGCAGAAAATGTCATTTATGATGCATCATTTGATGTTTACATGACTAAGTTTGTGATTAGAGCTCCATTGATATTAGATACAGATGGCTTCGCATTGCTTTACTTCACGAAGATGTACAAGACAAAGAATTATGTCATTTGCTCATGTTTGAATGATAATTTCGAACGAGAAGTTTTGCAATCAATCAAAGATGGATCAACACTAATTGTTACTGACTTTGATAAGATGCATCCATTAGTTAATCAGTTGTTAACAATGGTAAGGATCGGTCCAGAAAACATTGTATCAAAGAATGTAAAGATTGCAAATAAGACTGTTTCATTAAATCATTCATTCAGATTGATATTGATAACAAATCACAGAACAATAAAAGATATTCCTCCTCAAATTTTGTCAAGAGTTTCTCCAATCAATATGTCTTCTTCAAGTCTCAAAGCTTGCAGAACAATCATATTCAACGAAGTCATTAATGGATATGTTCCAGACATATTGTCATCAGTTCTTGCAGATAGAAGGAATAAAATCGAGAGTTCTGTCAACTACAAAGTCAAAGAAAGAGACACAATTCTCACTGTTGTCGATGCAGTCAATAAACAAGATGAAAAGAAAGAATACGACTGCATCGAAGATAAATCATTCCTTGCTGATATTGTCAGATCAAAGAATGCTTTGTTTGAAGCAAGAAGACAACTTGAGGATTCAACAAGTGCAATGTCCAAACAAAAGATCGATATCGAAGTATTCGAATCAGTTGCAGATCGTCTTACTGTTGTTTGGGAATCTCTTTCTGTTTATGCACCAATGATCAACGAAAATTACAGATTTTCATTCCAAAACTACATTGGAATTGTCGTGAAATCTCTTAATTTACCAGGTTTCGGACAAATCACACTTAAACCAGAACAAGCAGAACAACTTGCTCAAACATTGATGCAACAAGTTCTCTTAAACATTTTGCCAGGAGTTTCTTATAGAGATACGATGGCGATTTTGTTCATTATTTCCTCATTGAAACAAATTGGCGATGGAAGACTCAAGCAAGTTGATTTCGAAGCAATAATTAGACATCTTTCTGATCAAAAAGATGCTGTATTTGATTTCAAGACTGTTGATTTAACTCTTGGAGAACCATTTGATCATCTCAAGTTCACAAACATCACGAATTTCTTCAACTACATTCAAAAAGCAATTAATTTGAATGTTGGAAGTGATTACTTACAATTTATGAAACCATTTGAAGTTGACAACATTATTTCTCCTGCTGCTTCTGTTCCTTCATTAATCTTGTACACAACAATGTCTCCTTATTCATTGATCAGATCATTTATTTCAAACAGAACAAGAGGAGACAATTTCATCACGATTTCATTAGTTGGAGATTCAGCAACAATGAATAATAACAAGAAGATAATTGATAATGCAATGAAGAAAGGTCTTAGAGTTTTGTTGAATGTTTGTAACTCAGATGAATGTGTTCTAGAGTTATTAAATACAGTAACAACAGCAATTACTACAACATCAATCCATACTAACTTTAGATTGATTGTTTGTGCACCAGAAACAGCTAAATCTCTTCCAAATATCTTATTGACATCAAGTGTTAGATTGTTCTACAACTACAGTCCATCAATAAGAGATCCGATGATGCAGTTGTTCAATCAATTGCAAGGTATCATTAGAACGGCTACTAATGGTGTTGCAGCAAAGAAGATTGCTTATGCAGCATCTCTTGCAGCTGCAATATTGAGCTTCAGAAGATTTATTGAACCAATTGGCTTGGATCATTCCATTGATGTTCCTTTCGAAGAATTGACTGCTTCCATAACAAGAATCATTACTTTGTTGGATAATTCGCAACAAAAGGAAATCCCTATCAGAGCAGTAAGAGATTATCTCCAAGATATTGTTCTTGGAGGCTCCGCTTTCGATGTTTTCGACAGAAGAAAGATAAGAGCTTTAGTTTACACAATTTTCTCCGGAGATTTCTTCAAAGAAGGATTTTCATTCGTTGCCGATTCCGCTGATAAAGATAAATACGACATTCCTCATGGAGCAACACTTCCAATGTATACAGCTGCTGTTGCTAAACTTCCTATCTTCCCATCAACAGATTGCCTCAATGTAAACAGCACTGGATGGAATCCTATTAGGAACTGGACACTTTCAAGATGGTTAGTTTCGTCGTTAGAAAAAGTTGTTGCAAAGCAATTACCAAGACAAATTGATAGCGGTGAATACATGATCAGATTGAAGTCATACATGGTTTCTATTCCAGAAAGAATTGGTACAGGAAGTTTGGCCAAATTTGTGTCTCCAACTGGAGTAATAATTCGTGGCGAAATCAATGACCTGAACTCAATAATTGATTCATTGAGATGCAAATTCACTGAAGAACCATTCTCCAATGAAGTTTCCGAATTCCTCCATGGAACTGTTCCTGATTCATGGAGAAACATTTCAAGATTTGATTCGACAAAATCATCACAACATTTTATTTCACAAATTGGCGAAAGAAGAGAATTTTTGATGAACTATTTGCAAGACCAAACAATTTCTTACGTCAGTGTTAGATTGATATCCAACATCAGAGGTCTCTTACAAGCATTCTTAACTGAGCAGATCACAGCAAGAAATCTCAGTACAGACAATGTTGGATTAGAATTCAGTCCAATTGATAGAGAAGCAAAGACGAAACCACCTCAATCAATAGTCTTGAAAGACATTTCTTTGGTTGAAGGAAGATGGGCAGCAGAGCCACAAAAGGTATTTGTTGATAGAGATACTAAAGTTGCTGAAAAGTTCCTTAATCTCTGCGTAACTGTTAGTAAGCCATCAACAGAAAAAGTTTTAATGTGTCCTTTAGTCAGAACATTGAATATCTCAGGAATTTCAAGATCATCTGCAAACACTTACACAGATGGATGTCCAGATAACTTAATTTGGTACGTTCCACTCGCTTGCGATGCTCAACAACTTGTTCCAGTAGCAAACTCAACATGTTTAGTTTGTGTTTTACCAGAACAAATGGAATTGTAATTTTTTTATTTTTTATTTATTTATAAAATATTTATTGTTTGTTTAAATGACCTCATTTTTACTTATATTCAAATGAATAACTTGATCTGATGATACTTAAACTCTTAATATGCTTGACATTCTCATCGTTTTTAATTCGCCCAAATTGTAAATTGACTTTCTGATATTCTGTCTTCCTTTAAGGGAATTTGAGGTGACAAACTAATTCACAAGCAAATCATGCATAATCTGCTGAATAAAAGAGATTTCTAAACTGATATTCAAAATACGCTTTTAGATGAGCAGTTTAGTTTAAGTTTTACTAACCAAATCATGTAGAATTTGAAAACATTCTCAAGATATAAAAAATAGTTTTATATGTAAAAAATATGAATTATTATATTTTAAAATAATAATAAAATTACTCTTTATTATATTTAGTATGCATTAGAAGTTGGTTCAAGTAAAATGAGATCATTCTGGAGCATATCTCCCTTTGTAGACAATGTTCTGCCGTATTCGCCGAGGATTGTTTCCTTCTCATTGAGAGCGAATTTAACGTAATCATTATCAAACTCAGCCTGGAACATGATATTTGCGTTCACAACTGGTGATCTTCCCTGGTGCATCATTCTCAAGCAGTCCTCGACATCTCTTGAATTGACCTTCTCCTTTGTCTTCTCATCGATCTCATACTCCAAGTCGAACTGCTTCTTGAGAGTCTTGATCTCAACAGCGTCGTAGTACTGATTTGCTGTGAGCAAGTAAGAACAGAGTGACATGAGTTTGAGGTCTCTCTCGAACAATCTTGGGTCTGGAATGTATCTCTCGATCTCGTACTTGAGTGTTTCTCTTGCGAGCTGCCACTCACCACGCTTGCATCTCTCGATTGCCACTGCGATCTTGTCCAAGATACTTTCTGGGCATGCGGTGATTCCGACCTTCTTCTGGAGCTCCTTATGTGTCTTTCCGTTGATGAGGAGAACCTGGTCGTCGTAGTTGAATGTTGTGAGAGCAGGGATATCGAGCATCATTGCACTGATGTAATGATAAGCTTCGAGTGCTGCTGGATCGATGTTGAGCCATGGAGCGTAAATTCTTGGGTGCTGGCCGAGAATTGCGTTGGAAGCAACTGGATTCTTCGTGAAGCCTTTGAGAGAGTTGTAGGCTGTTCTGTAGTCGCCTGTCATGAAGGCTGCGATGCCGATCTCTGCGAATGCTCTGTTGTTCAAGATGCGGACGAAAGGTAACTCCGGTGGAATGTCTGGAAGGACACCGACCAACTGCTGGGCCTGTCTTGGATGGCCATTGTATGCAAGATGGATCGCGTAGTAGAGAGAAGCTCTGACCTTAAGGGAGAGTGTTGTATTGGCATCGAACATTCCTTCGTCTTCGGAAAGTTTGAGTAAAATGGAACGAAGAAGTTCACGTGGTGTACGGGCGCGAAGACCTTCCTTTTGGTTTGTTTCTTCTGCAGCGACTTCGGCGGCAGACATCCTTGCGCGTCTGGCGATACGATCTTCGAAGGAAGGAGCGAGTTCGTGGTAGCAATTTTCGAGCATGATGATTTGAAGGCGGATAACGAAAGCGTACTTCTTGTCTGCTTCAAGGAGATCGCAGAATCTTGTAAGAGATGTATTGAACTCTGCCTGGAGCTGGTGGAGCTGATTTGTCTCCGGATTGAATGTAGTTCTTGGATCAACAGACCTGGCCCAGAAATCGCGGGAAAGGCGCTCGAAGAGTGGGGTCAACATCTCTGCTTCTTCTGGCTTTCTGAACTTTGGTAAGATATTGAGGACAAGACGCCAGTCTGTGAGAGGAATAGCCTTCTCGGATGATCCCTGCATGATCGTAAAGCAGATTTCGAGCTGGATATCGTTCTTGAGTTTCTCATCTTCGACACGATGCAAAAGAATGGAAAGACGCTCTGTATCTGTGATAACTTTACCCTTGGAACGAGACAATTTGTCCTTGTCAAGCTCTTCACGGGCTGTTTGGTCTGTAATAACTTCATTCTTTGAAGCCATAAGACGCTGCTCAATCATCTCGGCATAATCAACTTCGGACTTATTGTTGTTCTTCCTCTTCTCCTTCTTGTCGTCCTTGTCTTCATCGTCATCGGAATTCTTTTCTTCATTGTCATCATCTGACTTAATGAACCACTTTCCTGGACCTTCGTCGGCATCAGCATCATCCTCGAAATCATCGTCATCATCCTGCTGGAATTCATCCTCTTCTTCCTCTTCATCTTGGAAATTCTCTGGATGTTCAGCGAATTCATTCAATTTGTCTTGGAATGGTACGACAAACTTTTCGAGTTCCTGTGCGAAACGACGAAGATCTTTGTTATCTGGAAGTAAATCCTTAACTTGCTGCTGAATATCAGAAGCGCCGCGGATGAAAAAGTTTGGATAGCCATGCTGCTTGATAGCTTTCTGTGACTTGCTATGTAATTTCATAAGTGATTGGAATTCTTCGAATGATGTCTTGAAGTTAGCATATGTAAGTTCATCAAGAACCTTGTTGATTGCGAACTCTAATTCCGCCCAACGTTTTTGCTTTTCTGACCGAACCACGCGCTTTTCACTTGATTTCCAGGAATCATCAAAGAATTTAGCAACATTCGATTTTTGCTTATTTTCTTTTGCTTCTTCCTGATTTTCCTCTTTTTCCTCTAATTCCTCCTCTTCCTTCTGTTGTTGTTGCTCCTCTTCCTCGTCATAATCTGAGCTTGAGGCTACAAAGAAACGTGATGCCATATTTTTTTTTCTTATTAGACCAAAACCTCTCAATTTTAGTTTTAGGACAAAATTTTTATTTTTAATAGTAATGCTTGCAATCATTGTATAATAAAGATCATATATTTTTGAAAGAATTTCATTTTCGAAAAATTATCCCACTCCATTTCTGCTCCCAGAAAAAGTGACATTTCTATAGTTGGCTTCAGATTTTCAATCATTGTTAAAGCTTTTTCATGAAATCATGATAATTACATATTGATCATATGGATTCATGTTTATATCAAATAGTGTCTTCTTTAGATCAGAAGTTTTTTAAAATTTCTATTTCAAAGCATTCTATTCTTTACTTCTAACTTAAGTTAGATTGTTAATTTGTACCAATATATTTAAATTTATCTTTATTAGCTCAAGATCTATGATTGTCTCAGATTTTCTTTTGAGTTTGTTTATTCTACAGTATATATTAAGATGCCATAAATTCATAAATATTGAAATATTGATTTCTTTTTAAGTTTCATTTTAGTCAAAGATAAGAAGAAAAACTTTTGGCAACTTAAAATGCATATTAAAGCTAATCAAATGGAGATAATGGTACCAGAAAGATCATATGCAATAATCTTCAAACCAGTAGCCCAAGGAATCATTATTGGACATTAAGTCAATAATCAACGTTTTTATATATATATATCAAATTCTTCATCTGTTGAAAGAGAAGGAAAATTGATTAAATATTTCAATATTTCATCTTCATTAATTCCAAATTAAAAATTTTTAAAAATCGTTTGAGCAACAAGATGAAAATAAGCCATTTATCTTTCACAATCTCTCTATGTGTATTGAAACACTTGACAAACTCTTTATTAAAAGTAATAATATACTCAAAAAATAAATTAATCAAAATTTGTATTAAGTTGATCCGACTAACCATTGGCACAAATCCATTGGATTCAAATTTGGAATAATTTAGAATGTTTTTTGCATATAAGGTAGGTAAAATCACTCGTAACACAAAATTTTGACAGTAACACTCTCAAATTTGAGGACTTTACGTGTTGTAAAGTGTTTACAAATGTAAAGTTTATTTATTTTGAAATCGGCAAAATTTACAGGCGCTCCCGCCCGTAACGATGCAAAATTGAGAGTGTTACGAACGGTAGTTTTAGCAGCGATTAACTTTTAACCTACCTTAATAAATAATTTCAAGGATTGTAATATTGATAGTTGCATATCCCTATAATACATTTTTTATACAAAATACAATGAAAAGTTGGAATTGAGATTGCCTGAATCTGATTTTGCATGTTGACAAATTGTCAAATGACATTCCTTTGTCATTTGACATTTGTTGACTTTTATGAAATGTTGTATATTTCTAGTAGTTTATTAAAGAAAATGAATATTCAATTAATTGATAGAAAATTTGAATGTGAATTGAAATCGAAATCATTATGTTTTTTGCTATTACTTCTCTTGGAATCTCCAAGATTTTACCATACAAAAGATTGCCTGATCATAGATTCTTCCCAATAGATGGACCATTCCGAAAACGGAACTGCCAGATGCTACCAAGAATCAAGGAAGATGAAAATGGCTGGTGGAAGAAGATCAGAAGGCACCTTGGTGCAGGCGCCATCATGTATGGCATCCCATTCCAAGAAGCCGAAGAAAATGGCCCATTCAGACCAATGCCAATCCATCCACCACCATATTTCCAGGAAGATGAAAATGGCTGGTGGAAGAAGATCAGAAGGCACCTTGGTGCAGGCGCCATCATGTATGGCATCCCATTCCAAGAAGCCGAAGAAAATGGCCCATTCAGACCAATGCCAATCCATCCACCACCATATTTCCAGGAAGATGAAAATGGCTGGTGGAAGAAGATCAGAAGACACCTTGGTGCAGGTGGCATCATGTATGGCATCCCATTCCAAGTAGCCGAAGAAAGCAACATGGGCCCCCCTCTTGAGTGTTGGCATACACTTTACAGAAGAAGGAAAGAGTGAGAACTTTAAAACGCGAGTAAATAATTTATTTACCTATTTGTTGCTCCCTGTTCCGTTAAATTTGTATTTGATCTTTAAATAGTCTCGAGAAATTAAATTCGTCATATAACCTCATTATATATAATGTTGATAAAGAGTCAACATAGCGAGTCCGTCAATGTTATTTCTGCATTCTATATTCCTCCAAAGTTCTTTCAATTACAATGAAAAGGAGGAAAAAATTAAAAAGAATTGAGTTATTTAGTCTGTAATATTGATAATATAAATAGAGTATGTTACATAAATAAAACAATCTACGCATGGACAGTTTGAATAATATCTCTGTTTGAAGATCAATATTATGGATAAGACTCGGTGTCTAATATTTGAGGATAGATCTATGCGTGTTACCATCAAAGCGGAGATCAATAATTAATTTAACATCACTAATAATTGTTTTAAAGTCATATTATGAAGAAATTTAAAACGATATAATTGCCGATATATTAAATTCATCATGTTTTTAAAACAACTGGGTATTTTATTTTTTAATTATAAATTCCAAAGCAAACGAAACAATATTAAAATTGAAAATTGTCTGCAAATAAAAGAATCAATTATATACTCTTTATTACTTCAAGGCTAAAAAATAGAGCTTTATCAAAATAAACATCATGAGTAACTCTCGAATCAAATATCTCATTTTATATTTAATTTCTGGCTTCAATAACTACTCCGGTATATATTGATGAAGATATAAGCCCTATAAGTCTTTAATTCAATATTTTTATTACATTTTAACTGTTCAAAACTTAAAATAATGGTGAAACATGGAGTTGTGAAGAAATAAATTAATGAAGGTCTACACCCTAGAATATCATTCTTTGAGATCAAGTTCAATTTATGGGCAATCATTGATACTAATACTAGTCTTCTTCCGATTCAAAACTACTAAGATATCAACATATAATTTAGTAAAAAAATTAAAAAAAATTAAAAACCTAATAATCTTTATTTTAATTATCAGGAATAATTAAACTGTCATCCTTTGGCAGTTTCCAAGGCATTGGACCGTCTGGTGGTGGAGTATAGTTATAGCCATCAGTTCCCTGCTCTCATTCTTGGCGTGGTCTATCAACTCTTGTCTGTCTTGGAGCAATGCCATCATATTCATCTGTATCGGCATTTGTATTTGACCTTTGTTTGGATTTAGTACGCTTATAAGAGCCCTTATCTGCATCTGAAGTAGTGGTTGTTGTTGAACTGCCACCACCACCGTAACTTTCCATATTTCCTGTGCTCATTGACTTCTTTCCGCAGAGTTTAGGCATGAAGTGCCAGCTTGGATACACGAAGTAGAGAACGATGATTGCAATGATGAAAATGATGAAGAAAACAAGTGCAATGATTAAGTTTCTTCTAACAGGATCAGAGAATTTTCCGATTGTATGATACCACTTATACATGTCTGGAATTCTCTTTGCAACTGTGTTGCAACTCTCTCTTGTGACAGAATTACCAAATAACTGTACATTTGCGTATTTATCTCCACCAACTGATTCAACTGACTCTCCGTCATATCTTGATAAGAAGTACTTACCATCTGAGCATGCAACGTAAACTCCAAGAACATCATTAGCATCGAAAATTCTTACGTTTTCTGGAATTCTCAAAATTGTTGCTGATGGTTCCTTGTAGAAGATACCGCTTGGAGCATTAACAACTTCGACGTTGTTATAGAGTGTATCTGGAGGAATGAATTCAACATCATCTGGGAGCTGGTAATCATATGGTAAAGCACCGAATGAAGCAATTAATCTTCCTGATCCTTTCTCAATAATCATATGGAAACTGCTTGTGAAACGTGGATTTGTTCCATCGAAAGATACCCAAACATATGGAGCATTGTTGAAAGCCAATGGATCAATGTTGACAACTTCGGAAGAAATCTCGAGATTTGTTACTTTGGAGAAATAGACAAGCTTTGATGGAATTGATTTGACACCCTTTCCAATTTTAAGCTTCTTCAAATTGTTTGTATAAGCAAAGGCCATTGGTTCTAAAATAACGCATGAATCTGGGACAGTAAATGACTTGATATTGGTGTTGCAGAAAGCGCTGTTTCCGACCATCTTCAAGTTTTGAGAAACTTTAACTGATGTCAATGATGTGCAGTTGAAAAATGTTCGATATGGGATGAAATCAACCATTGAAAGATCAACTTCTTCAAGGGATACACAGTTAGCGAAGCAGTATTCACCAATGTCTCTGAGAGTTGAAGGAAGTTTGATGGTTTTCAAGTTGTAACAGTTATAGAAGAAATAATCACCAATGGAAACGAGACTTTTATCTGGGAAGATAATTTCCTCGAGACTGAAAGCAGATATGAATTGATATGGGTGGATATCCTTTAACTTCATAGATTTAATCTCAAGTTTCTTGAGTGATGTTGCGTATTGGAAAGCATACCATCCGATTTCTAAATTAGCATTATTGATGACTAATGTTTCGACATTCTTATTCATTGAGAAAGCGGCGGTAGAAATGATAGTAACTCTTGGATCAAGTGTATACTTCTTATCAGTTAATGTAGGCAAAAGTGCAACTAATGTACTGTCCTTGAGAAGGAAATGGCCTTCTAATTTATAGTATGGATTAGTTGGTGCAATTTCAATTTGAGCATTGGAACAATTGATGAGAATTGATGGATTAAAGTTATTGCATTTTTCTCCAATTGTTACTTTTGTCAATGAATCACAGTGTGCAAATGTGCATGCGGCTGTCCTCAATTTGACAACTGTTACTGATTTGACTTGAGAATTAACGAATGCATAATCATAATCATAGATATTTGTGGTATCAATGTTATCAATTGGGCCTGTGTTAATGAAGGAATATCTATCGATTATTTCTGCAGCAGGAGTAAATGTAACTGATGTGAGGCTTGTGCAGTTAGCAAAGAAGTATGTTGGGATGAAATTAGTATCAACTTGGACGGACTTGATATTGATGCAGCCCTGGAAGCAGCCAATGTTATTTGTGTTCAATGATGTGTTGACTCTGACTTGTGTGATTCCTTCGCAGCCAACAAAAACATATTTGCCAAGTGTCCACTGGCTGTTAACTTCTGATAAATGGATATTTTCGCAGTAGATGAAGGCATAGTCACCAAGAGTGAGTGTTGTACTTGGTAATGTGTAACTGAGTTTTTGGCAATAAGCAAAAGCGGAGTTACCAATTGAGTTCAAATTTGTGCTTATTGTAAGTGTTTCAAGGGACTTGCAATGGAAGAAAGCATAGTCACTAATGGAAACACAGTTAGAAGCAACTACGGATGTAAGGCTGAAGCAGTTCATGGCGAACTCTTTAGGAATTGCTGTCAAGCTTGTCTCAATGGTTTTGAGATTGTATGACTCACTGAAGAAACCGGTTGTGGTATAATAATCATTGTCGAAATTAACATACTTAGGGATGTTAAGGGATTCAACCTGGGTTCCAATGAAAGCTTGCTCTTCAATGGTCAAGTTGTTTCTTGTAACTGAGTCTGGGAATGTTATTGTGGACAATTGGGTATATTTGAATGCGCCATTGCCGATGGTCTTTATCGTCTTCGGGAAAGTGATTGTTGTTATGGCGGAATAGGCGAAAGCATTATCAGCAATTTCAGTAATTTTATCTGAAAATGAAATTTGAGATAATGATTCGCAATAAATGAAAGCGTTCTGGCTGATTACTGTGGCTCCGGAGATGTCAATTGTCGTAAGGCTAGAGGCCATACTTGTGAATCCACTCGGAATAATTTTTAATTTCGGACATACAATTTCCTTTATGTATTGGCATCCTAAAAAGCAGGAAACACCAACTTCTGGTACATATTGGATGTATAATTCGTAAAGCAATTATCATCAATGCTGACAATGTTCGGTGTATTGAACCTAACGGTTTGGATAAATGTATTTCCAGTGAAGAGTGAATGAACAATTATTGCATCATCGCCGGAAATATCAACTTCTTGGATTGTATCGAAGAAACCACGTGTTACTAATTCCTTCTTAGACCATCCATTGCAGGTGATAATTACTGATTTAATATTATTTGATAAAACTTTATCAATTAAATCATTTTCATAATTATAATAATCCTTTTCATTTTCAAGCTTTAATGTTGTGCCATCTATCTTGTAGCCATTGGTCTTGATTGGCTGATTAAGAAGTGCATTGAAAAAAGCTAAAGAACGAAGCATTTTATGGGATTTTGAATATGAAAAAACCGATCAATTGGTGAGCATTGAAACTTTTCAATAGCAATTGAATAGATATGAATTTTGACAATGTCCGTCCGTAATATTATTAAGTACAAATTATACTCGCCGGACAAAACTTTTTTTCGAAATAATGTCAAAAAAAATTGAATTAAATTTGGAGATTGAAAAATTGAGAAAAATAAGATAAGAATAAAATTAAACATATTTCCCAATACCGAATAATATTTCCGAAATCCGGGAAACAATGACCTTTCTGAAATTTTAATCGCATAAAAAGGCTAATTCGTCTCGTAATTATTTATCAATTATTCTATCCCACAGCAATGGAATTGATTTAAATTGTAAAGCTAACATATCTATTCAATTTATTTCAATTTTATATGTTTCGAAACTCGGTCCTGTTTCAATCCCTTTTTAGGAAATCTCCGTATTTAAATAGCTACACTACTAATGGTGATACTCTCACTCTAAATGATCCCTCAGACTTTAGTTCGAAAGTATGGAATATTTATCAAGAAATCCAGACTAAAAACATCCGTAAGGTCATTGTCACTACCGAAACAGGAGGCTACAGTACGGATTCAATTCCTTGGCAACTCGTAGAAGAAGTTGAAATTCAAAGAAAAGCAGATTCAAAATTTGGTATTGATTTCAAAGGTTCCAAGATCCTTAAGAAGGTTAGCCTAGGTATAGGTGTTAAATCCATTACTGGCAATGCATTTTCCAAAACATCTATCTCTGAGATTGACCTTTCATATGTTACATCTATTGATGGTGCTGCCTTTCAATACTGCCCTAACCTTCAAAAACTTGTTCTTCCGAAAGTTCAGACAATTCCTGATTATTTCGCAAGAAGGTGTTCAAATTTGGTGTCTGTTGATATTTCGAGCGCGACAAGCATCAAGTCTAATGCTTTTTACAACTGCATTTCATTATCTGAGATCAAGTTTGCTAGCAACATTAATTCAATTGGTGCATATGCTTTCTCCCTTACAGCTATCACCTCTCTCACCGTCCCTACATCTTTATCTAGGATTAGCTTGTGTGCTTTTGCATATTCCTCCCTTGCAACCGTCACATTCCCTTCATCAACCACAGTAACATTAGAGGCACGTGTCTTTGAAGGAACAAGAATAGAGACCATTGAATTCCCAGCGAATATTAAGTTTGACCTTTCTAATGGTGATGGAATTATCAATGGAACGATAACCCTTACGAAGATCACATTCAACCCAACATCGATTCCAAAATCTTTTGCTAGAAACTGTGTTGCCCTTGAAAGTTTGATAGCTCCTAACGCAAACATAGTTAATGATTATGCTTTCTATAATTGCAAGAAACTGGCCACCCTAACACTTGCTAAGTCCGTCACACAGATTGGCAAGTCTGCATTTGCATATTGTGAGTCTCTTGTCTATGATATCCCACAAAATGATTTGAAGATTGGAGATAATGCTTTCATGTATTGCTCAAATCTGAAGACATCAACTATTCCAGCCAATTGGAAGCTCGGACAATATGTTTTCGTCGGATGCTCCGGTATTCCAAGCCTTGATATCAAAGCAGATCTCACAAACTGCCAAGGTTTGTTCCAAGGCTGCACAGGAATAACATCATTAACCATTGCATCATCAAATGTTCCGATATACTGCTTTGCTAACTGTACTGCTCTGAAAACCGTCACCTTCTTGAAGAACGTTTTTCTTGATGTTGGATCATTTGCTAGCACAGGTCCAATTGAGAACCTTGATCTCACAAAGGCCACTTCTTATTCAATTGCATTCAAGAACTCGCAGATCAAATCAGTCACCATTAGAGGAGATACTTATGGTGAATTAGCATTTTCAGGATGCTGGAATCTTGAAACAATCACATTATCTAAGGATTCAACATGGTTTGATGGTACAATTGCTGTCAATGTTTCTTCATCATTGAAGATTGTCCCACATAAGGAAAACACTGCTTTCACAGTCAAAGATGATATGGTCCAATATGGTTCTGGTTTTTTTGCACTTCTTCCTTCATACAAGAAGTCAACATTCACAGCTCCGGCTGGAATTTTGTATTTCGGAAAGGGCTTCCTTTCAATGACTCCAGCAGTTACTGAAGTCATCATTGATAACAATGGATTAAGAATTGCTCCATATTGTTTCGCTTATGCATATACACTTGAAAAGGTCACAATTAAGAGCCCAATCAACAAATTCCTTCCTTCAGGAGCATTCAGAGGTTGTTATGCATTAGAAGAAGTTTCATTCCCAGACCAAATTTCTCAAATTGGAGATCGTTGATTCTATCAATGCTACAATCTTGAGACAGTCAAGTTCTCAGGAACAATAACAACTATTGGAGCATTTGCTTTCACTGGTTGCTTCGTTCTCTCAAGCTTTGACTATTCTCATGTTGAGCAGATCCCAACAGAATGCTTCAGATACTGCTACCAGTTGAAGAGTGTCTCATTGTCAAAGACATTGAAGAAGATTGATACATACGCTTTCGATAACTCTGGCATTTCATCAGCAGAAGTTCCAGATACATGCTACTGGATTGGAGATTATGCCTTTTCTAACTGCAAGAACTTAAAGACAGTTACAATTGGCACAGGAATCAAAAGACTTCCACCTTACATGCTCGCTTATTCACAAGTCTCTAAATTCAACATTCCAAGTGGTGTTAAATTTATCCATACAAACGCTTTCTCTGGTGCTCCAAAGCTTGACGTTACTTTGGATGAAAAGAACCCATATTTCGTTGCCAAGGACCAAGATATCTACTCAAAGGCAACAAACACTTTGATCTGCACATATGGTGCTCTTCCAGAGTTGTATAAGATCCCAGATGGAATCGAAGTTATTCCTAAGGGAACATTGCAGACAAACATGGAAACTGTCCAGACACCAACAGGTAGCTTCTACACAGGTGTTTCAGCTGCAAGACTCGTCATCCCAGATTCAATGAAGATCATTGATACAACATCTATTTGGCCAATGTTCACAACATGCTACAACGGCAAATACTTCTTGTTCAATGGTGCAACAGTCCATGGTTATGCCGGCGATGCATACTTCAATCCAACACTCTTCGGCGCTAACATTGAGAAAGGTGAATGCACTGATGGAGAGCTTCCACCAGAATACCAATGGATCGCTCGTCTAGGAGCTAGAAGTAACAAAGGATTGGTTATTGCTTTAGTCATTCTCGTGATCTTATTCATCGCTCTTGTCTGCGTTTATCTATTCTTCCCAATCAAACAATCATATGATTCAATTCCAGACAGAAGTGTACAAAATGAAACACTTAACTTAGTTTAATCGCATTTGCGCGGTATTAAATAAAAATCATCCTAATATTATATTGTTAATAACTTTTTTTTAGAAATTAATTTAAGAGATTTCATATAAGTTCTTAACAATGGAAACTTCATCAATACATAGATTCATTTAAATGTATCTATAGACATTGTTGCCAAATTGAACAGAACTAACTAGATTTGGTATATTTCGGATTACATTAAACAAAAAGCCGAAATCAGATCAAAAAAAAGTATAATTTATTTGCAAAATTAACACTGGAAAGTGACAATATTGCTTTCTGATACAAAATACTGATCTTTGAAATTCAATTTTGAATTTTAACTCTCTATCAAAATATAAGCTGCATTTCTTATTAGGATAATCGTGATATCGTTATAATACTTTTCTGAAACTGCAAAGCAAATTTTACGGTTTTTACACGCTGTTTTTGGATAAACTGCATTGGAAATATTATTATTTCTTTTGCTTAAGATCATAGTCTGATAAATCTTTATTTTAATTCAGAAAAATTAATCTGAAATTGTCCTCTAAAATAATGAGTTTTGTTGCAGTTTTATAGAGTCTCAGATTGTTATTTACACAAATATGCGGTATAAATTCATTAGAATTTGATATTTCATCCTGGATTATGTTTCATAGCTTTCTATTGATTAAAAGCATTGAAGACGATTCCGTCTTTCTATGCTTTCGCATATGCAAGCCAAAAACCTAGTTTATCATATGAATATTGAAAGCACAATTAACATCTTAATAAAAACAAAGTGAGTTATTAAAAATAAAGTACTGTTAGGGAAAATATCACTCGCCTCTCTGTAAAAAGATATCTTGACATGAAAATGATGATGTGATTGGAGAAAGTTTGATATATGGGTTAATTTGCTCGCCATTAATGAGATGTATTACTTGAGGCTACAAGAATTACTTATTTATGATAACTTTGAACATTTAATGGCATTTATTCAAATGAATATGAGAAGAGGTAAATTTATCATTTGATTACTGATTAAAAAAATATATTCTCCTGGTATAATTGTATTAAAGTGCTCTAATCTAATCATTCTTTTGGTGACTTCATGCTAAATGACTATCATGATGCTATTTTAAATATACCGTAGGTTGAATAGCCCGAGACCAATTTCAAAGGTCGTGTACCAATAAAAAATTTTGAATCAATTTACACAACGTGCCCATTTTACTCACTCAATATTTGAGAAAATAATTCAATTTTGAGAAGAATGGTCCTCTGCGTTTTGAGTGAGTGACGAAAAAAAATCTCAGAAAAATTGAATGAGTTTTTATGGCCATGAACCAAATTTGTGAAGTTCCCGTTTAAAAAAAAATGCAACCAAGAACACGAATTCCCGAGTTTGCAGAATTAGAAAACTATAAAAATCTTGGGCTATTGACCCAGATGCAACTCGATTTACTCTATCGAAGAGTAAATGGCGAGTCTTATCAACAAATACGGAATGTTTACTCAATTTCAAAGACGACAGTAGCACGCGCAATCATGCGCACTGCTACTTGTCGTTCATGGACAAAAGGTCAGTCAGGGGGTTGTATGACCCTTTTGTCACTACCAGATGAAATGCAGTTCAAAAAACTTGTTCAAGAGATGGCAGACGACTTGAACTGTATTACAACATCAATGGCCATTGCTGTCTGTACGGAATTACAAAATAGGAGATTAAAATTTGCGGCGCGGGTACTAATCGCTGCAAGATGCCCGCATCTTCTAGCAAAGCTCGATGATTACTGCCCATCGCCATCCCGTGGCTGGCTTAATCATATCGCCACAAGATTGTCAATTCGGATTGTGAGCTCCCAAACTATTGATATGCTCCGACGCTCTACCTGTGACGCAAACCATATTCGCCAATTTTTCCTCTCCAAGCATAGATACTTTGCCCGCAGGAAGAAGTTTATTGCGAATATGGACGAGACAATGCTCTATTCCAAACGTCGCTATAAAGTTCTTACTGCTGGCCGGAATCGCCCAGTTCGCGCTGAAAAGTCTCAGCTTCCACATCTTACAGGGGTCTGTACCATCTTTGCAGATGGTACAACTATGAAGCCAATGGTGATACTTCCACAAAAGAAGACCCTTGATGCGGAATTGGAAGATCTGGACGCCTTTTTTGTTCGCTCCGAGAGTGGATGGATGAACAAATACCTTTTTATGGTATACTTATCATGTTCATCTGCAAAAGTACAGGAGAAAAGGTCTCAAATGAATGTGTTTGATGCCCAGGTACCTTTTCTCCTAATTGTAGATGGTCATCCATCCAGGCTCTCTTTCTTGGCCGTTCGCCTCTGAGCGCCTTCAATATCGAGCTTCTTGTTCTCCCAGGCCATACATCTCATATCTTACAACCTCTTGATGTTGGGATTTTTTCTCCCTTGAAGGCCCAATTCAAGAAGTTGTTTGATATGGCGACTATCCGGTACGATCAGCAAGGGCATATGGTGATCATTATGTATGGAACGCCAGAGAACTGCGCTATATCATGGTTCGCAGCTTCCTTGATGCATGTAGTGTGTCTTGCACAGCTACAAACATCGAAAATGCTTTTAAAGCAAACAGGAATCTATCCATTGGATATGAACAAACCTCTTGCTTCCAGATACATTGTAGCAAATGGAGTTCCTCCTGCAAGGCCCAATTTTGTCAACGACAAAGTCCTTACAGATCCAAATGTGATGATGCAAGTCTTCCAAATGGAATATGGACGCCCCATGCAGCAACAGGATTGGTATTTCAATCTGTTTGTGGTATGCAATCTTTTTTGCCCTGGAATGGAGCATATGGCCAGGTTCTTAGTCGTGAGTTACATCTCCTTTATCCTACTGCAGGTGGATTTCAAAAAAATCCAATTAAAATGATATAAAGCTGAGGAGCTCCAGGGTGAAGAGGAATTGATGAAGAAAAGAAGCAGCTGCATAATGGATGAGGAAGCATCTTGATGAAGAGAGGAAGCACCTTGATCAAGAGAGGAAGCCTGATCAAGAGAGGAAGCATCTTGATCAAGAGAGGAAGACTTTGTTGAAGAGAGGAAGCATCTTGATGAAGAGAGGAAGCCTTGATGAAGAGAGGAAGCACCTTGATGAAGAGAGGAAGCACTTGATCAAGAGAGGAAGCACCTTGATGAAGAGAGGAAGCACTTGATGAAGAGAGGAAGCATCTTGATGAAGAGAGGAAACTTTGTTGAAGAGAGGAAGCACTTGATCAAGAGAGGAAGCACCTTGATGAAGAGAGGAAGCACTTGATGAAGAGAGGAAGCATCTTGATGAAGAGAGGAAGTACTTGTTGAAGAGAGGAAGCATCTTGATGAAGAGAGGAAGCACTTGATGAAGAGAGGAAGCACTTGATGAAGAGAGGAAGCATCTTGATGAAGAGAGGAAGTATTTGTTGAAGAGAGGAAGCATCTTGATGAAGAGAGGAAGCACTTGATGAAGAGAGGAAGCACTTGATGAAGAGAGGAAGCACTTGATAGAGAGGAAGTACTTGTTGAAGAGAGGAAGCATCTTGATGAAGAGAGGAAGCACTTGATGAAGAGAGGAAGCACTTGATGAAGAGAGGAAGCACTTGATGAAGAGAGGAAGCACTTGAAGAGAGGAAGCATCTTGATGAAGAGAGGAAGTACTTTGTTGAAGAGAGGAAGCATCTTGATGAAGAGAGGAAGCACTTGATGAAGAGAGGAAGCACTTGATGAAGAGAGGAAGCATCTTGATAGAGAGGAAGTACTTGTTGAAGAGAGGAAGCACTTGATGAAGAGAGGAAGCATCTTGATGAAGAGAGGAAGCACCTTGATGAAGAGAGGAAGCATCTTGATCAAGAGAGGAAGTACTTTGTTGAAGAGAGGAAGCACCTTGATGAAGAGAGGAAGCATCTTGATCAAGAGAGGAAGTACTTTGTTGAAGAGAGGAAGCACTTGATGAAGAGAGGAAGCATCTTGATGAAGAGAGGAAGCACTTGATGAAGAGAGGAAGCACTTGATGAAGAGAGGAAGCATCTTGATCAAGAGAGGAAGTACTTTGTTGAAGAGAGGAAGCACTTGATGAAGAGAGGAAGCACTTGATGAAGAGAGGAAGCACTTGATGAAGAGAGGAAGCACTTGATGAAGAGAGGAAGCATCTTGATGAAGAGAGGAAGCACTTTGTTGAAGAGAGGAAGCACTTGATGAAGAGAGGAAGCATCTTGATGAAGAGAGGAAGTACTTGTTGAAGAGAGGAAACTTTGTTGAAGAGAGGAAGCATCTTGATGAAGAGAGGAAGTACTTTGTTGAAGAGAGGAAGCATCTTGATGAAGAGAGGAAGCACTTGATGAAGAGAGGAAGCATTTGATGAAGAGAGGAAGCATTTGATGAAGAGAGGAAGCACTTGATGAAGAGAGGAAGCACTTGATCAAGAGAGGAAGTACTTTGTTGAAGAGAGGAAGCATCTTGATGAAGAGAGGAAGCACTTGATGAAGAGAGGAAGCACTTGATGAAGAGAGGAAGCACTTGATGAAGAGAGGAAGCATCTTGATGAAGAGAGGAAGCACTTGATGAAGAGAGGAAGCATCTTGATGAAGAGAGGAAGCATCTTGATGAAGAGAGGAAGCACTTGATGAAGAGAGGAAGCATCTTGATGAAGAGAGGAAGCACTTGATGAAGAGAGGAAGTACTTTGTTGAAGAGAGGAAGCATCTTGATGAAGAGAGGAAGCACTTGATGAAGAGAGGAAGCATCTTGATCAAGAGAGGAAGCACTTTGTTGAAGAGAGGAAGCACTTGATGAAGAGAGGAAGCATCTTGATAAGAGAGGAAGCACTTTGATGAAGAGAGGAAGCATCTTGATCAAGAGAGGAAGTACTTTGTTGAAGAGAGGAAGCATCTTGATGAAGAGAGGAAGCACTTGATGAAGAGAGGAAGCACTTGATGAAGAGAGGAAGCACTTGATGAAGAGAGGAAGCACTTGATGAAGAGAGGAAGCACTTGATGAAGAGAGGAAGCATCTTGATGAAGAGAGGAAGCATCTTGATGAAGAGAGGAAGTACTTTGTTGAAGAGAGGAAGCTTGTGAAGAGAGGAAGTACTTTGTTGAAGAGAGGAAGCATCTTGATGAAGAGAGGAAGCACTTGATGAAGAGAGGAAGCACTTGATGAAGAGAGGAAGCACTTGATGAAGAGAGGAAGCATCTTGATAGAGAGGAAGCACCTTGATGAAGAGAGGAAGCATCTTGATGAAGAGAGGAAGCATCTTGATGAAGAGAGGAAGCACCTTGATGAAGAGAGGAAGCATCTTGATGAAGAGAGGAAGCACCTTGATGAAGAGAGGAAGTACTTTGTTGAAGAGAGGAAGCATCTTGATGAAGAGAGGAAGCACCTTGATGAAGAGAGGAAGCATCTTGATCAAGAGAGGAAGTACTTTGTTGAAGAGAGGAAGCACCTTGATGAAGAGAGGAAGCATCTTGATCAAGAGAGGAAGTACTTTGTTGAAGAGAGGAAGTACTTTGTTGAAGAGAGGAAGTACTTTGTTGAAGAGAGGAAGCATCTTGATGAAGAGAGGAAGCACCTTGATGAAGAGAGGAAGCATCTTGATGAAGAGAGGAAGCACCTTGATGAAGAGAGGAAGCACCTTGATGAAGAGAGGAAGCACTTGATGAAGAGAGGAAGTACTTTGTTGAAGAGAGGAAGCATCTTGATGAAGAGAGGAAGCACTTGATGAAGAGAGGAAGCACTTGATAAGAGAGGAAGCACTTTGATGAAGAGAGGAAGCACTTGATGAAGAGAGGAAGCATCTTGATGAAGAGAGGAAGCACTTTGATGAAGAGAGGAAGCATCTTGATGAAGAGAGGAAGCACTTGATGAAGAGAGGAAGCACTTGATGAAGAGAGGAAGCACTTGATGAAGAGAGGAAGCACTTGATGAAGAGAGGAAGCACTTTGATGAAGAGTGGAAGCACCTTGATCAAGAGAGGAAGTACTTTGTTGAAGAGAGGAAGCATCTTGATGAAGAGAGGAAGCATCTTGATGAAGAGAGGAAGCACTTGATGAAGAGAGGAAGCATCTTGATCAAGAGAGGAAGTACTTTGTTGAAGAGAGGAAGCATCTTGATCAAGAGAGGAAGCATCTTGATGAAGAGAGGAAGCACCTTGATGAAGAGAGGAAGCATCTTGATGAAGAGAGGAAGCACTTGATGAAGAGAGGAAGCACTTGATGAAGAGAGGAAGCACTTGATGAAGAGAGGAAGCACTTGATGAAGAGAGGAAGCACTTGATGAAGAGAGGAAGCACTTGATGAAGAGAGGAAGCACTTGATGAAGAGAGGAAGCATCTTGATGAAGAGAGGAAGTACTTGTTGAAGAGAGGAAGCACTTGATGAAGAGAGGAAGCACTTTGATGAAGAGAGGAAGCACTTGATGAAGAGAGGAAGCATCTTGATGAAGAGAGGAAGTACTTTGTTGAAGAGAGGAAGCATCTTGATGAAGAGAGGAAGCACTTGATGAAGAGAGGAAGCACTTGATGAAGAGAGGAAGCATCTTGATGAAGAGAGGAAGCATCTTGATGAAGAGAGGAAGCACCTTGATGAAGAGAGGAAGCACTTGATGAAGAGAGGAAGCATCTTGATGAAGAGAGGAAGTACTTTGTTGAAGAGAGGAAGCACTTGATGAAGAGAGGAAGCATCTTGATCAAGAGAGGAAGCACTTGATGAAGAGAGGAAACTTTGTTGAAGAGAGGAAGCACCTTGATCAAGAGAGGAAGTACTTGTTGAAGAGAGGAAGCATCTTGATGAAGAGAGGAAGCACTTGATGAAGAGAGGAAGCATCTTGATCAAGAGAGGAAGCATCTTGATGAAGAGAGGAAGCACTTGATGAAGAGAGGAAGCACTTGATGAAGAGAGGAAGCACCTTGATCAAGAGAGGAAGCACTTGATGAAGAGAGGAAGCACTTGATGAAGAGAGGAAGCATCTTGATGAAGAGAGGAAGTACTTGTTGAAGAGAGGAAGCACTTGATGAAGAGAGGAAGCACTTGATGAAGAGAGGAAGCATTTGATGAAGAGAGGAAGCATCTTGATGAAGAGAGGAAGTACTTTGTTGAAGAGAGGAAGCATCTTGATGAAGAGAGGAAGCACTTGATCAAGAGAGGAAGCACCTTGATGAAGAGAGGAAGCATCTTGATCAAGAGAGGAAGTACTTTGTTGAAGAGAGGAAGCATCTTGATGAAGAGAGGAAGCACCTTGATGAAGAGAGGAAGCACCTTGATCAAGAGAGGAAGCACCTTGATGAAGAGAGGAAGCACTTGATGAAGAGAGGAAGCATCTTGATGAAGAGAGGAAGTACTTTGATGAAGAGAGGAAGCACTTTGAAGAGAGGAAGCATCTTGATGAAGAGAGGAAGCACTTTGTTGAAGAGAGGAAGCATCTTGATGAAGAGAGGAAGACTTTGTTGAAGAGAGGAAGCACTTGATGAAGAGAGGAAGCACTTGATGAAGAGAGGAAGCACTTGATGAAGAGAGGAAGCATCTTGATGAAGAGAGGAAGCACTTGATGAAGAGAGGAAGCTTTGATGAAGAGAGGAAGCATCTTGATGAAGAGAGGAAGCATCTTGATGAAGAGAGGAAGTACTTTGTTGAAGAGAGGAAGACTTGTTGAAGAGAGGAAGCACTTGTTGAAGAGAGGAAGCATCTTGATGAAGAGAGGAAGCACTTGATGAAGAGAGGAAGCACTTGATGAAGAGAGGAAGCACTTGATGAAGAGAGGAAGCATCTTGATAGAGAGGAAGCACTTGATGAAGAGAGGAAGCATCTTGATGAAGAGAGGAAGCATCTTGATGAAGAGAGGAAGCACTTGATGAAGAGAGGAAGCATCTTGATAGAGAGGAAGCACTTGATGAAGAGAGGAAGTACTTTGTTGAAGAGAGGAAGCATCTTGATGAAGAGAGGAAGCACTTGATGAAGAGAGGAAGCATCTTGATGAAGAGAGGAAGTACTTTGTTGAAGAGAGGAAGCACTTGATGAAGAGAGGAAGCATCTTGATGAAGAGAGGAAGCACTTGTTGAAGAGAGGAGTACTTTGATGAAGAGAGGAAGTACTTTGTTGAAGAGAGGAAGCATCTTGATGAAGAGAGGAAGCACTTGATGAAGAGAGGAAGCATCTTGATGAAGAGAGGAAGCACTTGATGAAGAGAGGAAGCACTTGATGAAGAGAGGAAGCACTTGATCAAGAGAGGAAGTACTTTGTTGAAGAGAGGAAGCATCTTGATGAAGAGAGGAAGCACTTGATGAAGAGAGGAAGCACTTGATCAAGAGAGGAAGCACTTGATGAAGAGAGGAAGCACTTGATGAAGAGAGGAAGCATCTTGATGAAGAGAGGAAGTACTTTGTTGAAGAGAGGAAGCACTTGATCAAGAGAGGAAGCACCTTGATGAAGAGAGGAAGCACCTTGATCAAGAGAGGAAGCACCTTGATGAAGAGAGGAAGCACCTTGATGAAGAGAGGAAGCACCTTGATGAAGAGTGGAAGCACCTTGATCAAGAGAGGAAGTACTTTGTTGAAGAGAGGAAGCATCTTGATGAAGAGAGGAAGCATCTTGATGAAGAGAGGAAGCACCTTGATCAAGAGAGGAAGCATCTTGATCAAGAGAGGAAGTACTTTGTTGAAGAGAGGAAGCATCTTGATCAAGAGAGGAAGCATCTTGATGAAGAGAGGAAGCACCTTGATGAAGAGAGGAAGCATCTTGATCAAGAGAGGAAGTACTTTGTTGAAGAGAGGAAGCACTTTGATGAAGAGAGGAAGCATCTTGATCAAGAGAGGAAGCATCTTGATGAAGAGAGGAAGCACCTTGATGAAGAGAGGAAGCACCTTGATCAAGAGAGGAAGCACCTTGATGAAGAGAGGAAGCATCTTGATGAAGAGAGGAAGCATCTTGATGAAGAGAGGAAGCACCTTGATGAAGAGAGGAAGCATCTTGATGAAGAGAGGAAGCACCTTGATGAAGAGAGGAAGCACCTTGATCAAGAGAGGAAGCACCTTGATGAAGAGAGGAAGCACCTTGATGAAGAGAGGAAGCATCTTGATCAAGAGAGGAAGTACTTTGTTGAAGAGAGGAAGCATCTTGATGAAGAGAGGAAGCATCTTGATGAAGAGAGGAAGCACCTTGATCAAGAGAGGAAGCATCTTGATCAAGAGAGGAAGTACTTTGTTGAAGAGAGGAAGCATCTTGATCAAGAGAGGAAGCACCTTGATGAAGAGAGGAAGCACCTTGATCAAGAGAGGAAGCATCTTGATGAAGAGAGGAAGCACCTTGATGAAGAGAGGAAGCATCTTGATAAGAGAGGAAGTACTTTGTTGAAGAGAGGAAGCACTTGATGAAGAGAGGAAGCATCTTGATGAAGAGAGGAAGTACTTGTTGAAGAGAGGAAGCACTTGATCAAGAGAGGAAGTACTTTGTTGAAGAGAGGAAGCACCTTGATGAAGAGAGGAAGCATCTTGATCAAGAGAGGAAAACTTTTGAAGAGAGGAAGCACTTGATCAAGAGAGGAAGTACTTTGTTGAAGAGAGGAAGCACTTGATGAAGAGAGGAAGCATCTTGATCAAGAGAGGAAGTACTTTGTTGAAGAGAGGAAGCACTTGATGAAGAGAGGAAGCACTTGATCAAGAGAGGAAGCATCTTGATCAAGAGAGGAAGTACTTTGTTGAAGAGAGGAAGCATCTTGATGAAGAGAGGAAGCACCTTGATGAAGAGAGGAAGCACCTTGATCAAGAGAGGAAGCATCTTGATGAAGAGAGGAAGCACCTTGATGAAGAGAGGAAGCATCTTGATCAAGAGAGGAAGTACTTTGTTGAAGAGAGGAAGCACTTTGATGAAGAGAGGAAGCATCTTGATCAAGAGAGGAAGTACTTTGTTGAAGAGAGGAAGCACTTGATCAAGAGAGAAGCTGCATGATGAGTGAGGAAGCATCTTGATCAAGAGAGGAAGTACTTTGAAGAAGAGAGGAATCACTTTGTTGAAGAGAGGAAGCATCTTGATGAAGAGAGGAAGCATCTTGATCAAGAGAGGAAGCACCTTGATGAAGAGAGGAAGCTGCATGATGGATGCATGATGGAGTGAGGAAGCATCTTGATGAAGAGAGAAGCGTAAGAACCGATAACATTTACAAAATATTAAATTTATTTTGTAAATTTTCCAAAAGCCTTAGTACCAATGTAATATAAATGCTCCAAAAATACCATCCCTCCTTCAAAAAGCGTAAGAACCGATAACATTTACAAAATATTAAATTTATTTTGTAAATTTTCCAAAAGCCTTAGTACCAATGTAATATAAATGCTCCAAAAATACCATCCCTCCTTCAAAAAGCGTAAGAACCGGTAACATTTACAAAATATTAAATTTATTTTGTAAATTTTCCAAAAGCCTTAGTACCAATGTAATATAAATGCTCCAAAAATACCATCCCTCCTTCAAAAAGCGTAAGAACCGATAACATTTACAAAATATTAAATTTATTTTGTAAATTTTCCAAAAGCCTTAGTACCAATGTAATATAAATGCTCCAAAAATACCATCCCTCCTTCAAAAAGCGTAAGAACCGGTAACATTTACAAAATATTAAATTTATTTTGTAAATTTTCCAAAAGCCTTAGTACCAATGTAATATAAATGCTCCAAAAATACCATCCCTCCTTCAAAAAGCGTAAGAACCGGTAACATTTACAAAATATTAAATTTATTTTGTAAATTTTCCAAAAGCCTTAGTACCAATGTAATATAAATGCTCCAAAATACCACCCTCCTTCAAAAAGCGTAAGAACCGATAACATTTACAAAATATTAAATTTATTTTGTAAATTTTCCAAAAGCCTTAGTACCAATGTAATATAAATGCTCCAAAAATACCATCCCTCCTTCAAAAAGCGTAAGAACCGATAACATTTACAAAATATTAAATTTATTTTGTAAATTTTCCAAAAGCCTTAGTACCAATGTAATATAAATGCTCCAAAAATACCATCCCTCCTTCAAAAAGCGTAAGAACCGATAACATTTACAAAATATTAAATTTAAAAAAGGTAGTGGGGCTTCCAGGCGCGTTGCGCCCTCTAGCCCATAAGAAATTTTTCCCAAGACCCAAGAGGAGGACCGAACCCCAGCCGACCAGCCGTTGACTTTTTTGTAGAGCACGCAAAATAGTATAACTTTGTCCGGACAAGTAAGGGTCTATCGTCGCTACAGGAAAAGTTACGGGCGTTCCAAGGAAGTATACTTTGAGAAGCCTTTTCCCCCTTATAGAATGAGATAGGACGGTTATTTTACAAAACTGACAACACGTTGACCGAGTAGTTTTTTGTGCTGAACAAAAAGTGTCATATAAACATCTGTCAAAAACCGCTTTTTAACTTCACTTAAAATGCCACGTAAGCTACGTAAGAATATACGTAAGAGGAAGGGAGCATTGAAACATCCAATAGTAAAACTAACACCACAACAACAGTTGCAACAACAAATGATGAATGACCCCACTATGTTGCAACAAATGTCAAGCAACCCTATGCTTTTAAACCGAGTTATTGGTGCCACAGAGTGGGGGTTTAAGAGCGGCACTTTTAGCGAAAATGGCAGGCTATGGTGGAGCTGCAGACGGAACAGCTTATAACCCTCAAAGTCAAATGAATTTGAGTTCACTCAAAAATCAAATAACAGATGTCAAAAAGTCAAACATAGACATACAGAAACAAATAAGTGAAAACGAAAAGAAACTAGAATATGACAGACAGACAAAGAAACTAAATGAGTTAAACGTAGAGAAAAAGAAGAAAGAAGAACAACTGAAAGAACTAAGTACAGAGGAATATGCGAAAAAAGTGTCAGAAAAAGCAGCAGAAGTAGCAAAAATGGAACAAGATGTTATAAATTTGAAAAACCATACTACTCAATATAAAGTACTGAAAGATGAAGAGATAAAACAAAAAGCCATGAAGACATATATGGATAGCGATGAGTATAAAAAAGAAGTTGAAGCAAATGTAAAGGCAGAAAAACTTTTACAGTTGCAAACCAAACCGTACAGTATGAAAACTTAGCACAAGAAAGTAAAAATAACGACGCAGCCATGCAAAAGGCAATGAAAAGCGCAGAATATATAAAAGCTAATAATGACTGGTTAGATGCCCAAGCCAACGCTAAAGCAGCCCAACTTATAGGGTCAATAAGGACAAAAATACAAGCGGATGAAGACAGTTCAAATGAAGCTTTAATGAATGCTGACTTTAAGAACGCCTTCGAAGCTCTTCATAGTAAGGTGAAACTAGTGAACGACTTCTCATCTGGAAAGAAACTGAAGTCTGAAGGTTTCGACAAAGAGTTAAGAGAAGTAGCACAAAATATGACGAAAATAACAGATGCAGCAACGAGACAAGCAGTTCAAAGTGCCTATGACGCCGTTAGAGCAACTGTTGTGGAAAGTCAAGAAAAAGAGTTACAACAGACCAAAACAGACCTAGTAAATGCTTTCTTAAGAACGAAAAGTCAGGTAGGACATTATGCTGCAGATGGAACATATGTGCCAGCTGGTGGAACTTATATACCACCAAACCCTCCAAGAGAAGCACCTGCACCAGGACTACCTAAAACATTTACATCGTCACATGGACACAGACACAGGCATGCACCACAACAACAACCAAAACCAACAGTTCAAAACACTGCACAGCAACCAACAGTTCAAAACACTGCACAGCAACCAACAGTTCAAAACCCTGCACAGCAACCAACAGTTCAAAATCCAGCACCACAACAACCACAAACAGAGCAAGGACATAAAAGAAGTAGAGAACAAGGAAACCAAGAATTCTTAAAAATGCTTAAGGAAGACTATGGTTACCCAGATACTCTTGACTTTAGTGACAGATATAAAGAAGCTATTAGAAAGTTCAAGGAAGGAAATACTGACCCGAACCTATTTAGCTTTATGGTTCAGCACCAAATGGGATATAATTTCAAACCTGGAAAATACAAGCTCGCTAAGGATATGATTTAATAGCATATCATCCAAATGACATGACTGAATTTACTCCGAGATATTTGGTGTCAGAGCTAAATGATAATTCAACTCTCTTCATGAAACGCGTAAAAAATAGAGACGGAACGAAAGAAGAAAGGTTTATGAGTCCGGATGACTTAGATAGGGAACTTTTTAAAAACGGTCTCGGAATATATGAAATGCCAGCAGATGAGGTACAAGAAACTCCACAGGAAGAAGTTCAGATACAACCAGACATGGAAGAAATAGTTCAGCAACAACTGCTAGAAGAGCCTGAAGGAAACGAACAAGTCCCTCCTTTGGAAACTAACTTCACAGAACTAGATGAAGATTTGGAACAGCCGAAAAATCTTGACCCTCAACAAGTGTATGCGGGGAATATGGAATCTTTCCAAGAGTCTAAGAAAAATTCGGCTGACATAGTAGAAGAATATCGAAAAATGTTCGCCGAGATACAAAAGACTCCAACATCAGATGAAAATATTCAGCATAGAATGGAAGTACTGAAAGAAAATGTACGCAAATACAACAATCCTTTTTACTTACGACCATATAACGTTCAATCTTTGGCTGAACTCGGTGAAAATAAAAGGTTAAATTTCAACAAAACATATAGAAATGAAACATTGTTTAAAGTTCATTCAGAACCTAACCAATATGGAAACAAACCTACTTTTGTTTCTGCAGACTATGGAACTACAATGAGATGGGGTCATAAAGCTAATCCGGATAGGTGGTTCATAAACTTACAACCACAATTCCAAGAAGTTGTAGACGCAATGGAAGTGAATGGTGAACCAGATATAGCTGGTATTTTCAGCGCGGCTTTAATGCCATTGAAAGATATGAAAGATGCAGATATTTTGAACCAGTATGAAATGAACATGGCTGATGGAAATATAACACCTGACGTTCTAGAACATTTATCTCAAAGAACTACACAGAACCATAGAGATGGTATATTTGGTGAAGAGTTTAGAAAGAAAGTTAGGGAGATAGAAGGAAGAGAACCTATTGTACATGACCTTGCAAACGAAAGTTTGCAAAATGTCATAAAAACTTACTTTGCAGACAATGAACCGAGAAGGGATGAATATTTAAGAAAACTCAAATGGACAGTACCAAATGAAATGTTAGTATTGAAAAACATGTTCCTTGACAAAATAAAACCAACTACAGAAATAAATGACGCAAGACTGAAACATTGGGTAAAAGCTTTCCCATTCACAAAAGATATTATTGGTAACATGGAAAGAAAACCAGAATGGCTACAAAAACATATATTTGGAAACGAGCTTATTCCATATGGACAAGCTCTGTTTGAAGAGCTTGAACCGGAAACTCAGGAAAGAGTCATGCAAACAATACGCGAAGACTCAAATACAAACTATGACAAAATCTTTCTAGGATATAGGTTACCTGAGATGGGCGACCAGAGCCCAAAGGCAAAAAAGGACATGGGAAATTTACAACATACTAGGTGAACATGAGGCAAAGATGCTACAACTTGAAGCAGAGGGCAAGTTACCAAAAGCGACACCAAAGAAGAAGAGTAGAACAAAGTGAAAGTAGTGAAGAAGTAACTTCATCTAGTGAAAGTAGTGGCAATGAAGGAAAAAGAAGAGTTAAAAACTCAGTCAGGAAGAAAGTAAAGCTTGGTCCGAGTGGGTTCTATTATGATATATAAATCCAACTATTCTATATTTTTACCCATATGAAATGTACGCCGCTCAGAATATAACACCAACAGTTTTGGATGCCATGAACGGAAATGTTTCCGAATGGTATAACGAATGCGACAATGCCATTAGAAGGTCAGAAATAGTTCCTGGAACTTACGAATATACAACTGCTGTTTCTTATGGAAACGTAGGTGAGTTTGGAGAAGGTTCTTCAACAACAGTAGATATTGCTTGCGACAGGTTTCATATTATTTCTATTGACAACTCATTCTTATACGTGGAACAAGACATTGAAATAAAACCTTCTGCCAAGTTGTCTGACAAGAAAGGTTGCAATGGAATTTTCTATGTCGGATACCAATATG